ACCCCTGATAAAACTCCTGTATAGTTAGGAATGTTAGGATCTTCTAGCTTGACCGCAAATATGAAGGACGGAGAAACGCCTCCAAAACGAAAACTCAGAATGCTTCATTAGATTGTAAGCTTTTCGCTAGACCTTTGCAATGTAAGTTATGAATATGGGACTATTCCCACATCTTGTTCCACCGCTTCAACTCCTGTGTAGCCAGGACCTACAGCTTGACCGCCAATAAAAAGCCAATCAGTGACGGACGGAGATACACCTCCAAAAATACACCTCAGACCTTGCTTCATAAGATCAGACATTTGAAGTTAGTAGAATATGGGGCAGGGCACCGACGAGATGGTCGGACGCGGTGAGGAAGACGGTGGGCGGGAGTTTGCATCGTGCGGTCCACACAGCTTATGACCACAGTCTGTGGAGGAACACTATCTGTGGTCGCGATCCTCATCAGTGAAGGACCGAGGAAGAAGAAGAATATGGGACTATTGCCACCTCTCGTTCCCACCGCTGCAACTACCCATGTATGCTGGATCTGTAGCTTGACCGCAATAAAATAAGTTAGTACAGTAGTGTACTTACGTCCTAGGCCTCTTCCGGGCCGGTAGAGAGCAAGCGCCCGAGGGCCCGGGCTCGTGGTACGCGGGTGGCGACTTGCGGCGCAGGTCGTAGGGGCTGTGATGGCCGGCCGTGGTGGCGGGCGCGGCAGCGGGCACCGGTGGGGAGCCGCCGCCGCCGCCGCTGCCACTCGGCCCGGCACATGCCGCTGTGGCCGCCATGGCACTGCCGGTTACGTTGTTCGGGCAGGGGACTGATTCACATGGCTCGCCTGGGGATTTAGGGATTAGCTTTAGAACTTGCTCTTTATGCCATGTGGAATGAATAATAGTTTTCTTAAATTTTTCATCAAATAACAACTACTTTAATGATAATCTAATATTAGTAATTTTATTAGTTTTGAACATTTCTAGGCAAATAGCCAATAAGTGAAGCATAGATTTGTTGTTGCAAACAAATCACAGCTTGACAATAATAAATAAAAAATGAAATCTATAAACAATGTAATTAATTTATGTGCCAACTAGTACCTATGATCTATTGAATTGCTTATTTCAAGTAAATAGATAAAATAATAACTAATTTTAATGCTTCTACAGGCACAAACAAAATAATGTTTACAATGGATCAATTAAAGTTCATTATACTTTTTTGTTAAAATTATTATTTAACCTAAATTATTCACAAAATATTTTTTAAGGTTTTATTCTACATGAAAAAATCGCTAGTTACATGGCAGGCTATCATTTTACATGTGTGTAACATTGTTACAAAACAATGAAGGTAACAAAATAATGTATATTTTTTTGTGTTTCTGTAACTAGAGAAGCACAGTCTGCCTCTGCTTTATGCAGGTATTACTACTTGTAATTTTTTCATGCGTGCACCACATAATTTTAGATGTAAACATTAACAATTTCCCATTGAAAGCCATAATCTCATAAAAATCTTAAATAGTTTCTCAAATAATATTGCATTGTTTAAAATAGACTGTGTTGAAATTAACCTGATATTGTTATACATTATTTACACAAATTCATGACACAAATGAGTTACGAGTTATATCCTATAAAGCGCTTAGTGATTAATGGAGCGTACAAAACAAAACAACATTTCTAACATCCTCTATGTGCAGTCAGCGTCAAATAGTAAATAATGACACCCAAAGCAGCCAAAAAGTTACAACATTATAACATTATTCCAATTGCAACAAAAACGTGTTGCGAACTTTTGACTACTTTGGGTGTCACGAACTATTTGACACTGACTGTACCTAAAAATAAGATTTTTTGTACATAAAACAGATTAATACATTAATTTGGTTATCTAACAGTCATGGCCAAGCTAGCTAGGGGGTAGATAAACCCTAGTTCCTGAGTATAACAACAAATGTTATCAGCATGTTAGTTTCCAAGTGGTTTAATGGTTGATGCAAAAACAAATAAACAACAAAATTAAATAATAATTTATCATAAATTCATAAGTGCATGTTTTAATACAATTATAAAAAACAACAAAAAGGATTGTTGTACAAAAAAATATATCCCCATACTAATCGGTTGATTATTTAAGAGAATTTGTATGACACCCTGTATTAAACGAGTTCTTTTCTTCAAACAATATTCGACCGAAACCTAAAAAGAGTTACTTTTAGAAAAAAAAAAATCTTAACCTAAAAAGAGTTACTTTTAGCACTGTTGATTTTTCATAAATTTGGAAAAGACTATAAATAATGTTTTCATACATATTGATTTCATTTTTCCCTTCAAACTCAAAAAGTCAATAATCTATAATCTAGAATTATATTAAATTTTATTCAATGAATACCTACTTTACTTATCATGTAGATAACATTAACAACAGAATAAGTCAACAAATTGTTAGTAAACTATCTTCATGAACTAGCCTCAGTGAATATTGTAAACATAATTAAACAACACACTTTTCAAGCTCAGGATCACATTTATGTCCTATCATTAATACTACAAAATGAATACAAAACCAGTTTAATGAAAATAACAAAAAATCAATGAGTTTGACATGTTAGTACCTCAGGAAAAAAGAGACGAAAACATGTTTTGTCTCCACTTCTAAAACACAATAGGATGGGAGATGCTAGAGAACAGCTGTTTCGCCATGCCATGTAAAATAAGTTTTCAGCTAGCAAATCAATACCCACATTGCGCAAAATGTCACTGAAATGCGCTACTCATATCTTTACCCAACGTGGAATGCGAAGAAACGATGTGAATTTGCATGCCAATCAACGCAAGGAGAACAATGATCAACGAAATAAAAACTTTGTAGCTGGCCCGAAAAACATTTTTTCTCAATTGCAATGTCAGAAATGCTTCCACCTTGGGTGATTCATACACAAATGAAAAGACTAAATAGCTTACACCATATTTTCTTAAAATTCGGATGTTGCACATTTATGGAAATGTCGTTATCGAGCTGTTCGTAAAAGATTGGGGCGACATCGGCGACCCGGATTACTTACTTGATTGTGTCCTAGAAGGTAGAGGTATCCGATGTCCGCCTTTTCTTCGCGATCTACGGACGTAAGAACGCGAAGAGGAAAACGAGGCACTAGGCATTATTTCTTTAGACACTTATTTTCACTAGAATCCAGCCCTAAACAAAGGAGACACCCGCACTAAAACCGACGGCCATTTTCTGTTTAGATTAGATTGGGAAACGGCACGGGAAAACCAATATTACACCACATGAGTAGTTGTGAGAGCTAAAATGTATTGTTCTACAAGATTAACACTAAGCACTGACACTAAAATTGTAATAGTTAACTCATAAAAATCATTATCTAATTAATTACACTAAAATATTCACACTACCCCCGAGACATGGGCGACTCTTCAAAAAATATGGCGGATCGGATTAACATGGCGGCGGCGTCAGCAGCGACCTCTGCTGGGTTATTTGACAAAATGTTATACTTTTTTTTTAAGTTTGTCATTCCGTATTAATTATAAAAGGCTTTTATTCATTATTTATTACAATTTCTACATAAAAGAAGCAAATACATATTCTATAATTATCTATTTATATAAATGTGTATTTTGTTTAAACAATCTTTGTTCAAATTTTCAATAAAACACAGTTAAAAGTATGATATTTGACTTTCATACGCATACAAATTTTTGACTTTATTTATAGTTGGTTAAGGCAGGTTTTTGTTCACCATTTGTAACACAATCGATGTTACTCTTTTTTTGTTTACTCCACATTTTACTATGGCATACAGTCTTTTGAGCAAATAATTATTTCTAACCGGTTGTCAAAAGTAGTGCTGCGCTAAAAAAAAGCGGAAAAGTACATTATATCCGACTTGTTGTTATGGAAATCCTTGGGGGGGAGACCTTTGTCCAGCAGTGGACGTCATTGATGGTCATTTAAAACAAACGCACTACCGACTTGATTCACATTATGGAGTGTGTTCATAAGCCGGACCTCCTAGACAAGTTTCACTTTTTAATCGAATTGTAAAATTGAATCCTTCAAAACTCCATTCAAAAAAGGCCTTTCGACCACTTTTCGACTGATTTGCGATTATAATGTGCACCTTTGTCTAGCTAGACCCACAGCACAGGCCACAGCACGTGTTTTGCCCTAAACAATCAACAAAAAACATGTCAATATTCAACAAAATGGCCCACAAAAAATGTTAAATGTTGACATTTTTTTAATTGTTACTTGTGTAGGGCAAAACACGCGCTGGTGCGGTGGAGATCCGGCTTTAAAGGTCGTTCAATGAAAGTCGAGACAAATAGGAACTTAAGAACGCATTCAAGTTCAAATAAATGTAGATTAAACTCATGCGCTTTCATAGCGGGGGGGCCGGGGTGGCACTGCAACAAAACTGCTAAATTAATAATTATTTATTTACTTTGGCTAGTCTCAAGTCTCAATGGATTACTAATGTTCGGCCAAAAAAGGTTTCCTAAATTATCACATCGCAAACAACGTTTCGCAAATTTTCGTTTGGCAAAACAACTTAATGCAATTTTTTTTACCAAATTATTGTTTGGCAAAGAATGTTTCAGCAATACCTACTTTCAGCAACCATACTATTTTCTATCAATCTTTTTTTTACATATGTAAAGATTATGGTTAAAATTCTTGTCTAAGAAAACCATGATCATGTGCCTTAAGCTTTGATTTACGCTTAGATTAATAAATAATCTAAGGATTTACGTATGATACCAGTCTCAACGGTAGCTGTTATCGATTTTTTCTTAAATCAATTGAATGTCGTTAATTCCTCTATAATTGATTGTGATTCCAATACATACATACAACACTATTCTGAAATTATCTGTCAAAAACTGTCAAAAAATTAAGAATTTCAGCGAGTGCTCGGATTGTGATTGTATTAAATTAATTTCTTATTTTTCATACAAAGAAGAAACGGGGATTGGTTGGAAATAATGGAGCAAAATACGTGTTTATTTTCTATATCTGCATGTATGTTACTCACCTTCTTTTATGTAGCAAGTTTATATGTTTGGAGGTCTACACTTAGCAGGTATGAAAACGTGTAGCTATTTCGTCAATATTTCGCATTGTTTAATGGCTCAAGTATCCTCGCCTTTTCTATTTTATTGTTGTTCGTTCTAGGGACCATCCAACTACCATCAAAAGAAGATTTTTTAGTGTTTTCTGTGTGATGCTGCTGGCACCATTCCTGACACAGTATTTTCTAACAGAAGAAACTATAAATAGAGGGAACATGTACGAGCAGTTAGGACTTCGAAGTTCTGGGCTGATCACTGCTATGGTGGCTCCCTTGTTTCTTACAGCTGTTTTGTTTTTGGGGCCCTTGACCATGCATGTTCTGTCTGGATCATGGAAATTGTATGCAGGTATTTGATTACTGAAAAAATACTATAATTTGTCAATGGTTGATGTCTGTATCTCTATGTTTACTTTATAAACTGTTTGTTATTATACTTGCAGAGCCATTGTACTGGGTTTCCAGCTGGCAAGACCTGGCATGGGTCCGGAACCACTTCATGGCCCCCCTAAGTGAGGAGTGGGTATTCCGAGCCTGTATGATGCCACTGCTCATGCAGTGCTTGGAACCTTTAACAGCAGTGTTCACAGGGCCTTTACTTTTTGGCATAGGTAAAAATGACTAAAAAAATTCCATGGTTATTGCCTCATTACATCAACTTAGTTCACTGAATGCTTAGCCGTATTTCTATAATAATAATAATTTTATTTTTTTATGTTTTCAGCTCATTTCCATCATATGTTGGAAAGAATGAGGAGTGGATATGATTTTAAAACTGCATTAATGATCTCTAGTGAGTATATCTTAGAATTTCATACTTTGTGTTAATATACCTAATACCTGGTAATATTGATGGATTGATTTACAAAGGTGTTTCCTTTTTTTCCAGCATTCCAATTCACATATACTAGTCTGTTTGGTGCTTATTCTGCGTATCTATTTGCTAGGACAGGTAAGATAAATAATAATTGTTTTTTTTTTAAATTCTAATTGAGTATAATATAAAATATTGTTCATCCAAAATGATTTAAAACTTTTTTTTCAGGTCACTTTGTAGCCCCACTCGTAGCGCATATATTCTGCAACCACATGGGCTTTCCTAACTTTGCCGAGGTGGGGCAGTTTCCTATGCTTCAAAGAGTGGTAATTGTATGCTGTTTCCTCTTAGGATTTATTTTATGGTGCCTGCTTCTTACACGATTGACAAGCCCGGAAATCTTTGATAATCGATTATATTGGGAAACTTGAGATGTATGTACTTAAATTCTATTTTGTTTTCTTTTTGATCAATGACAAAGTATTTTTTTTTAGTTTGAATGAAAATCATCACAACCAATTTGATCTCTTAGCAAAAAAAAAATGATACATAATCATTTAAAATCAAAATGTACGTACCAAGTGCAATAATCACATTAATATAATAAAAAAAACATTTATTATGTATAATCTTTTGAAAATCTAATCTAGCTCATGACTAGTATTACTACCTAATATTTAATTTTGTTCTTTGAGAGTCTTATGTTTGATGAATGCTAGATGTTGGTTTAAACTGATCCTTTCCTCAAATAGGACTTAGGTTCTAGGTGTGGTAAATAGTCATAAGTTTAAAGCACTTTAAGGTACTTGTCACAATGAAGTCCTTTGATTGCTCAGCAACTTAGTGGAAGGCTCACTTTGACGAGAGCTTGCAATGATTTAATTTTTTCTGATTGCATGACAATAAGTTTGTAATTGAGCAGTCAGGGTAATAAACTGACTCTAATTTATTAAATACCTACTTATTATCCATGAGCATACAGCATTACTTAAAATGCTGTAAGAATTAAGATAAAGTATTGTTTTTTGTAATTTTATTTTGATTTTATATTTTTGTTTAGTGAAAATATGTTGACATTTGTGTGGTTTATTTTATTTATTATGTTGTAGTGCACCAAGAACATTATTTTAACTAAGCGTTCGCACCCTTAATTTGTGCCATCCTTAAAATTTAAGTATTTAAAAAGAACCACTTAAATGTACAAGTTTATACAATACGTAATATTCACGGTTTAGACAGTGTTTGTTGCACGCGTAGGTATATTGTAACAAATTGCCTCACTAGTCAATTGATAGGATATTGTTTAAATTATTTAGTTAAGTTTAGATCGTAAACAACGATGGTGATAAGATTGAAGTCATATAAGTCGGCGGAAAATAACTAAATAAGCAAATAAAAATGGATTCCTAATAAACATATTTTATCAAGCTGTAGTTGAGCCGTTTGAAAGTAGGTACGCTCTCTAAGCTCTCTTTGCTTCAGCGAATTCTATTTTTCAGATACTAAATATTAGGTACGTCCAGGTAATAATCATACTTCATAATTTATATTCATAATAATATCTTTATCACTGACCATTTCACTAAATAGTTTTAAACATCCTTGTATTTTTCAAAATGTATGGATTCTTCATCTCGTAAAATTGTAACTAAGACAGCCTAAATTATTTTAGTGATAAAATCATTCATTTCAAAGTTCTCAGCATGTAAATTAGTTGTTAAGATTGTGACAATATTTCGATCTATCACATAGTCTCTTATGGTATATTATGACGATATTTCATGTACACACGGCCACAGTGTTATCTATCCATTTCCGTTTTTGCTCTCGCTCTTATCAAATGGTGATTCTTTGCGATAGAACGAGACGACATGACTGGCAATGGGCAGTTAACACTGTTGCCGATAGTATATTGTACACAACGACAATAGCCTGAAAATGCTCAAGTAAAGCATCATTATGTACAGTCACGGAATGAAAAGGTTCGTCAGTTTTCAAATTGATTCCTTCAACGAATCACGAGCACATAATATTACCTTTTGAAACTATGTTACAGAATAATCTCGAGTTAGAGAAAATAATCTTTAACTGTTCGTCAGTAAAGTTCAAAATTATTCAGATCAAAGTTGTTTGACGATTTAACTTGTCAAGAAGATTATTATGATTGATAAACTAAAACCTTCTTGTTGGTTCAACCTGCCATTATCTATTAAATAAAAAAAACTACATTTTGTAACATTGCACTGATGGGATAGAAAAATAAACAAGCAAAACCTTATTCGTTAGCAAACGTCATATTTATTTAAATGTTAGCAGCACTGTTTCTTGCACGGTTATGTTGGCAGGTTTGACTCTTACAGTACCTAGTGCAAGCGAAAACCGACACTAAGGTGACGAACCTTTTCATTCCGCGACTGTACTACAGGCATAGCTCTTAGCTGAACAGGGTCCTACGGTAGTGCAAATGAAAAGGTGTGTCGTTTCAAACATCATCGAGGCTTCAGTAGGTCTAGACAAGTGGCAGTGACTGATCGAATCGAAAATCGAATCCGTTCACGAGCGATGTAACTCCATAGGAAAAAACGCTGGAGGCAATCGCTTTCGACATTACAACTGTCACGTTTTGCCACTTGTCTAGGGGGGCAGATGTGCTACAGTTATGTATACCGTGGCAACTCTACGCCACGTGTCAAAACTCCAGTAGGAACCTACTCAGTAAGCGCTATGACTGTATTCTATATTTTTTTAAGATGTCACATATGTAATCTTTTAAACTGCGATCTCCAACCCGCCTGCCAAGCGTGGGGATTATTGCAAAACCCTCCACTATAGTGGAGGAGGCTCATAGTCCAGTAGTGGACTGTAAAGGGCTGTTGATGATGATATGTATCTACACCAAATATTGTAATTAATGGCTTTCTTAAGTTTTAAGTACTCAGTAATTACGAGAAATGTAAGGCTGAGTTGCACCACCTAACTTTAACAGTAAGTATAATGATAACAGGTGCTTTTCGTATGGAGTTTGACGTTTGTTAAAGTTAAAGAAAGATGGTGCAACCCAGCCTAAGTAAGGTGTAACGTACCAGTAATAATTGTGGTTTTATACAGTCAAATTATAATAAAATCAAAACAGTGTCCTCACTAGAATAAGTACTTGCCGAAATACACTTTTACAATGTATTTTTATTTTTTATTTCTACAAATAATTTCATTAGACACTGTGCATACCGGCACAGTATGCTGCTGTGACGTCATTTACCTTTGATCTATATCGTATAAATAGTCACGCAGTTCGCGTTAATAAACAGATTAATATCAGAGACTAACTACAACCCGTGTCTCATTCATACGGTCCCCCAACATGGCACAACACCATTAAAGTAGCCCAAACAAGTTTCGACTTAAAAGTTATAGCTCGTTGAGGAAAATTTCTACAGGAATTTATAAATAAGCAAACACCAAAGTATGTGTAAATAATTTATTCACTTCATTGTATATACATAATGTACATAATTTAGATTCCAAGCTTGTATATTGTAAAAGCTCTATCCTACCATCCCATAAGGCTAGGATGTTAAAGAAGTATTTTAAAAATTTATCTAATAGACATTCAGAGAGAATCACAACAACAAATAAGTAATTTGATCTATGAAATCTGAATATAGACGAGAATCTATCACCTGTGCTCTGAAAAACTTAAATATCTACGTGATGTAAAACAAAAGCTTTTAATGGTACAATAACAACAACTATAACAGGATTATATTGTAAATACGAGTTATTATTATGAACCCCATTCTTAAAAGTCGGAACCAGTTTTTCTTCCAGAATGTATTAACAATCATTACAAAATCTATACCAACCCCTGAAAGAGAACTAAACAAAAAAGTTTAAGACCTAATACATTTTAAAATGACCTCAAAGGACATTGGGAACTTTAATATGAGAAAATGCCCCACGGCGGACAAAGATGAAACGTATTTTATTTCAAAGCTTTATACTTGTAGGTATATTCACTTAAAGCGCTATGTTGTGAGATATGNAATGCATTAATACTAGAGGTGGGCGCCGATATACAATTGGCCAGCGGCGGCGCGCCGACTTTTTGACTTCGGCGGCGGCGGCGTCGGCGGCGTGACCTTGTTTGACCTTTATTCATTAGGTTTTTTTTTTAAATCTGCTTCTTTAGTACCTGTCGTCAAGACTAATCAGGTATTTTGCAGTTGGTTGGGATTTGACACGGTAGAGCCACTGGAGCAGTGGTTTACCCTAGTAAATTAGCTCTCTTGATCATAGATACTTTGATATTTGAATAGCGGGCTTGGCTGATCAGGACTCAGGTTCTCGTGTATTTCCTAAAGGCGAGCGTACCAATGTGCCGATAAAAGTACAGTTAACATGTATTTTTGAGCTCTTTGGAGGCACATAGTTAATATTGGATTAGCTGACTGTCGGTCGAATATTATGTTTAAATCTGTTTTATTTATATTTACAGTCTTTCCATGTCATCCTACGGTCCAGGTTTTTAATTCAGGTTGATTGCAGTAGTGTGTCGAGGACTAGATTGGCCAGAGGATAAGTTTCCCGTCTTAAATGTTACAATTTACAAGTTACAAGTCTATACTTGGTCCGGTACTCTATAACATTTACTGGTAAAGCTGGAGTTTCAAAGCAGGATTCTATAATCCTGGGGTGCTCCAGCTCTGCAGCTCAGAAGAGAAAATGTTGTCAAGGAGTTTGATTTAAAACTGTCTGTCACTGAGATAAGACTCCATCAGCAGGTAGTAAAAGTGTGCTGGAAGGTACTTTTTAAATTTCATAGAGTAGTCCTTTATGCTAAACCCAGCTGAAGCCGCAGCGAAAGCAGCCGTACAGGATTCTTTCTTTTCCAAACATTGTACTGATTATGGTTGGTATGGTTTCTGTCAAAATTTATGGTCGGGTATTACTATACAGTGTGAGTCACGTTAAAGTGTACATATGAAAATAGATGAAACTAGACCTATTTTTATCGACAAAAAAGAGGTCAAAAATTTTTTGAGATTTTTTTTAAATTTTTTATAGAATTTTTTTTCATCCAATTACTTATTGTAAAGAAAACGTAATAACTTTTAAACTAAGCGGTATATCCTGATAAAATAAAAACAGTAATAATGCTAAATAACAGGCGATACTAAAAAAATACATAAAATACACAAAAAATGCCAACAAATAATAAAAAATGATACATTTTGAAAAAAATCTGCTTTTAAATTCGTGTTTTTTTGGTTAATTGATAAATTTCTCCAAAAAATGCCCCTATAACCGGTAGTTTTTATTACTTTGTATTATTCTCTATTGTATTATCTTTGTAAAACCAAAAATCGCACGTCTCTATCCCTACCACAACATTTGCTATGATCGTTTGAACAAAGGCCTGTCACCACATTATTCTCCGCTACAGGTAGAGACAATTTTAATTTTAACTAAAATGCTTATTTTACTTCGAAATCTTTTATTTTTATTTGAAATCTAACTTGTCTTTATCAAAATTACAAATCTAGAGCCATTTTCAGTTTCGTTGTTAACGAAGCATTGAATGGCGCGCTCGGAGAGGCTTAGTTCAAACGATCATTGCAAACGTTGTGATAGGGATAAAGACGTGCGATTTTTGGTTTTACAAAGATAATACAATAGAGAATAATACAAAGTAATAAAAACTACCGGTTATAGGGGCATTTTTTGGAGAAATTTATCAAATAACCAAAAAAACACGAATTTAAAAGCAGATTTTTTTCAAAATGTATCATTTTTTATTATTTGTTGGCATTTTTTGTGTATTTTATGTATTTTTTTAGTATTGCCTGTTATTTAGCATTATTACTGTTTTTATTTTATCAGGATATACCGCTTAGTTTAAAAGTTATTACGTTTTCTTTACAATAAGTAATTTGAGGAAAAAAAATTCTATAAGAAATTTAAAAAAAATCTCAAAAAAATTTTGACCTCTTTTTTGTCGATAAAAATAGGTCTAGTTTCATCTATTTTCATATGTACACTTTAACGTGACTCACACTGTATTACGTGGGGTCATACTGTTATACTTAGGCAAGAGAATAAACGAGCAAGAATGATCCTTTTCCATAATTTTAACAATACAAATATCATATTAATTGAGCAATAGGAGGAGAATTCGTTAGGCGACTTGCCAGCCTTATGGATCATTTCAAGAGCATGGAGTTCATGTTGATCAGATCAAATACTTTACGAGGGTCTATTTTGGCTATTTCTGTAGCTTAGCCATCTCTCTTAGCGTTCGTTTGTTCGTTCGTTTCAGCTGAAAGACGTCCACTGATGGACAAAGGCCTCCCCCAAGGATTTCCACAAAGATCAGTCCACCTAGTGGGAGGTCTGTCCACGCTACGTCTTCTAGCTCGTAGTCGCCAGTCAAGAACTTTCCTGCCCAGCGGCTATCAGCTCTACGAGCTATGTGCCCCGTCTACTGCCGCTTGATTTTAGCGATTCTGCGGGCTATGACAGTCATGTAGTTCTCCTGCATCTTTCGTACTATCTTAGCGTAATAAGAATTTGCCTTCTACTTTGAATTTAAGGAGGGTAAGCGGAATTCAGGTACAAAGATGACCAGAAGCAGCAAATGAAAAGATGCAAAATGGGCCCTCTCAAATCACAATAGGAAGGTTTGGCAGCAGAGCGCCTAGAATGGCGGGAGTTTGAGTCAGCGAGTCCAAGGAGCAGCGCACAACTGAACTCGACGCGAAACGCCGCCAATGTAAATCCCGTCCATCTGCCGCCATTCACTATAATTATCTTGGCGGGGTGCTCAGATACTCTCAATGTGCGAGGAGTTTGCCGCGAAGATCGGCTATGTAAGCCATCTTCGGGTGCACCAGCGCCGCCAAGACAGCTAAGTCGAAGTGGTCACCATGGCCGAAATCGGTCGGATGAATCATCATCATCAGTAGGAATCAAAGGCAGGAATAGCTGTAAGTTTCGGATCAAATGCTTGATCTTAATTTTTGGATTGAATTGTGGATTTTTTGGATTATCCGTGTCAATGGGTTTAAATAAACCGGCTTGTCTTGTAGCAAATTTCAAAGCAAAGAGATTTTTCTTGTCAGTTCGCACTCATGTATTACCGGACCTAATAGGCGGAGAACACTTTGAGGGAGGTACTTTGTTGCCTTCCAGAGGTTGTGGTTCCCATTCGCATTCCGAGACATATTTGCCAATCTCTGTGTGAGTGATTCACTTAAAGTATAGTCCAACAGTGTGGGTTGTCTGCCAGATGAAGGTAGCGATTATTTCTTGACAGCGCCTCTCGCAATCAATTATTTACTAGACCAAGCAGCAACTTGCAACAAATGGGAGGTAAACGAACAGACGGATCACCTGATGGTAAGTGATTACCGTCACCGCTTCGCCCATAGACACCCGCAGTCCCAGGAGCGTTACAGGTGCACTGCCGTAATACAGTTAGTATTAAGTTATTCAATCAATTTATTAGTATATTCTCGGCATTATGTGCACATTGTGCGTTCTTCTGCGTTCGAAACACAAATCCTGAAAGTAGAATAGGAGAGGAATGAATTGCAAATAGTTGGTACAGTATCAGTATCGGCGCGCCGACTGCTGGTCGTCGGCGGCGGCGGCGTGGAAAAATTCGCGGCGGCGGCGGCGCGCCGGCGTGGCGCCCACCTCTAATTAATACCAAAAACGAAAAAGGGGGCGACCTTCAAAATATTAATTTAAACATTTCCATATAAAAATTATTGCTTCATACGTTAAATTAACAAAGTTCTCGAAGAAATAAATTTTCCATATATCTGCATTTTAAATGTTGTTTATCAATTTTTTACGTATTTATTCAAAATTTCGAAAAGGCGGCGACCTAGATCAAGGATTAGGCTACCCTACACAAGTTCCTTTGATGTATTTAAGTCACTAATCGCAGAGCACTCGTGATTTAAAAATATGACAATTTTAAGGATTCCGTGCAGGACCCCCTTNGGACCTCAGGATTGGCCCGGCACACCTTGAAAACCGGTGTGTGCGCCTCTCCGCCACGGAGGTCGTCACAAATGTTACCTAAATGTAAAATAAAATAAAATATTAAAACTTCATTTTCTCAATATTCCCATATAAGAGAGAAAAAAAAATGCACGGAAATTCATTGGATATTAGTATGTATCATCTGTGATAGGTTTCGTTTGTGTCCGCTACTTTTCGAAAAGTGGGGCAAAAAGTTCCCAATGTCATTTAGATTCAAATTGAATTGATTAATTCAATTTCAGGTGGCGTACTTTCTATCTCTTTCTTACGCTACACTGTGCTCACTTATACCCGCGCCAAGTAAGTTACTACTCTGATTTTTTATTTATTTCCTTGACGTCTACTGCTTCCTCTTAATTTTGTATGCCATACGAAGCAGTGCCGTTATCAGCCCGTCTAAGCCAAAATATTCAGTCAAATATACAATCTAAGCTATCAACGTATAATAATACTTATTATGTAAAATAATTTATTTAAAAAATAAAAATTTCACCTCATTTATGGATTCATTATCATGATTTTTGAGCCTGATAATCAAATCAGTCTTGATACGCCGAAAAGTTTACACATACTTTTATTGTATCCGGCGAGAAATAAAGTTAACTTTCTTTATTTTGACTATAGACGACATTATTAACAATAGAGGAAAACAATAAGGTACGATGCCCATTGACCGGCGCGCGTCGGAGCGCACTTACACGGCCGTAAAGAAAATAGTATTTTATTAACAGTTCTTAGAGTCGTATTTGCTTACAACTGATCAACTGACATTTCAATCCGGACGAACATGAATGACAGAAATGTCACTTAATCAGTTGTAAGCAATTACGGCTCTAAGAACTGTTAATAAAATCAGGCCTGTTCATCTCCGCGAGTTTACATCGAAAACAAAACACGCACGATGGCCCACCTACAGGATACTATTCGACAAGGCCTCACATACGAGCGAACATTGACTCACGCACGCGTATTCTTGTGCATGATGGAAGAAAATAAAGAAAATGGTGTACTAAATACTGTGCAGTATTTAACTGCCTAAATAATAATAAAAACACAGAATGTACTTTTTTAAGTTGCCTCTAGACACTGAGAGGTAAATAAGTAGTTAATATTATTCATGATAATTCATGCTAAATCATGTATTTCCTCCGCCATTTTCCGCAGTTTGGCACCTCACGACACATCATTTTACCGAAGTGACCGAAGTCAGCCCTATAGCTTCGGCGCAGTGCCGATCACTGACGTTTGTCAACAAAATGGTGCTTGACTCTTGAGACAGGCTAAAATACACCATATTGTTAATGACATTGAGCATACATTTTTTTAAATACCTTCGCGAAGTAAAACTTCTGTACGTAGTACTTATTATTCTGTGATAAAATACTATTTTCTTTACGGCCGTGTAAGTGCGCTCCGACGCGCTCCGCCGCGCGCCGGTCAATGGGCATCGTACCTAAAGGTCACGGTATTTGCCCTCACTAGTTGTCGCCACTGGCGAATGAAAGAATCACAGTGGCCCCACCACAGTGAGCCAAATGCGATGATCCTCCTATCGATTCAGTATTCACTGTCTTGATCGATTACTAACAGTGAGCGCAATATTGTGTAACTATCTTTTTATTGCTTTCCTCCACTATTAATACTAATCTATTGTTAAAATCTCAAATTACTGAATCAAATCCCACAGTAATTTATATAAAATATTGCTGCCAAAATACTTATGGGCATTGCAGTTTACAATATCAAAGTTAAAATCCAATAAGACATAACTGACGTTAATTCTAAAAACCATACAAAAATATTACGTTCATAGGAAAGTCGGCTATCAGACTTTCCGATTGTAGAAAAAATCTTAATCACAAAACAAAGTTTATCAATCTCTAATTACGAACAAAATATTACGTTAACTTTTTATGCATAATATTAAGAACTCCCAAGTTTATAAAACTATAACTAGGTATACCATAATAACAAATAAAAAGTGCAATGAAGCATTTAGTGCAGTTGTTTTCCGTACATCTAACGTATGAAACTAATATCCTCTCGTCTCAGAATCGATTTCATTAAATAAATAAGCGATTTATAATCTACTATACGGACCAAAACGAAACGCGTATACAGAACGGAATAAAAAGTTATGAATTGAAGTTTGGCTGAAACATTTTGAAAGTCCACATCAATACTTTCAAAACGTTTACATTAGTGGACCAACTGATATGTGAAGAGTTTTATAACATTATCAGAAACATAGATACCATTTTAAAAACGGCAAGTTTGGCCAACATTTGTCCAACATGGCAAGAACCTGCCACGGCAAGTTTGGCAAACATTTGTCCAACATGGCAAGAACCTGCCACAGCAAGTTTGGCCAAAATTTGTCTAACATGGCAAGAACCTGCCAGTCGGTACTAATTGTAACGATGCCAGGTCATTGACCTGTAGCCATCACATCGGGGTCGTTGACCCCAATATGTAAAACCTGGCCATTGCGCCCCCAATCACAGTTCTACATATTTTACACGTTAATAAGGCAGATAATTAGTCGAGCGGACTGGCTTTGTCGTACCAGTTGCGCGACTAATCTTACAACTAGTCGCAAGACACGCGTGTGGCGAGTTTTAGTTTTAGAACTTTCATGTGGCCGTTGCACGACTAAGTAGCAGATAATTGGCACACCAGCAGTGCTACTCCGAAACGCTGTTTACGTAGTTACAGGTCTGTCACCGTCGCTTTCGCTGGCATCGCGCTTTGCGTGAGAGGGATGGCAACATTTGAAACTTCGGATAAAGTTTTTCGGAGTAACCCGGTGGTCATGCGTCATCGCGTCACTGGTCGCACGGTCAATCGCCGCGTGACGTCACGTGTGTAGCAGAGCAGAGAAGAGCCTGAGTATCGGGTGGCACAGCGTCGAGCTTCATGGTGCTTGTATAGGCCGATTTGGCGACTGTGGTACCGGCGGCGCGGGCGACGCGTCTAAGTCGCAGGCGGATAAAAGTCGCACTAACTCGTCTGGTGTGGGTCCGCCGTCTGGTACTGGAGATTCCTCGCCTTCACCTGGAAAACAGTCATTATGACCATGGACATTTAGTTTCCAGTGCAAGAGTACGAGTCTACTAGGGGCAAAAGAGAGGATTTGGTGTACACTCAATAATACTTTGAATGAAAATCATAGGAGTAAGAACGATATTTTGGAGGGCATGTATCATAGACTCTCTTTTACTGTAAAAAATATTCTAGTGTAACATAATATTAGACAACGGAGAGTAGGAGTCGGGAAACGTTTTCCCATAATATGAGTCACGCCATGAAAAATGTGGAAAGCTTTACACAAACTCTTACTAAAAATATAACAAGTTTCATAAAGTATCCGGCTCGAAGGACCATGTTTAGAAAACGATAAACATCCACGAACCCGACTGCCGTTATCAATCCAAAAGTAGAATGTTATACAAACCTCCGCTGCCTCCATTTCCAGCCACAGGCTGCACTGGCTTAGCTGCCTTGTCTATGGGCGCGGTGAGGTCCCACATCTGCGCCGCGCCTGATCTATGGCCGCATAGCAACAGCCTCCTTGGTCGCAGGGCGCCTTCGCACTCGGCCACCACGAAGCAAGACACCGCTGAGCCATCCACTGATCTTATTGTGCACACCCTGGGAATAATGTATTCGAATGTTTATTATCAGACAGTATGTGGAAGAATCTGGTTGTTAACGACTTGGTAAACATCAAAATAAAAAGAGTTAGGCATCAGACAGCAGCTATCAACCACAGTTCAGTCACGCATTTTGGCCATGTATCTCGCCGCAGTAGTGACTCCATAGAGCGTCTTGTAGTACAGGGAAAAGTTTAAGGCACCAGACCACGTGGTAGATCACCAATGAGATGGACAGACCAAATCAAGGCCGCAACTAAGTGTTCGGTTAACGAAAGTGCCCGGAAAGCTGCAGTCCGCGAGGAATTGCGCCATATTGCGAGGAAAATCACTCATCGTGATTCACAATGATGACCACGATCACTTTGACTAGAGTGTACCGAGTGAGAAGAAGAAACCTCAAAATGATCTAGCTTCGTTGCCTCTATAAGTAGGTCTTTCTTTTCAGTCATTGTGGGGCAAGATCAGAGGAATAAAGCTGAAAATCAAAAAAGTTTACGGGAGAATCGACTTTAAAATTACCTCTTTCCATTAGATGCCAATCGCACGTATAACGTGTCAGTATCAGGTACAACTTTCTGTATAAATATTTGCTCCTCATCTTGTTCACCGAATGGTCCTGAAACAAATAATTTAAATTTACGACCAAGAAAATTACAGTGCTTGAACCCGCTCCAAAAAAATCGCAAAATGACATGCACATATTTTGACATCACGACAAAAAGCATGGCAAACGGTCGGAAAAGTAGTACTGAGCGTAAAAGAATCTTTATTTCCGTGAAATTATTACATATATGCCATCATTTTAGTCCTAAAATCTTAGAGAGAATAAAAAACTAGTGTCTTTTGAACGTCGTTGTCTTGCCAGCGTTGACGCGCCCTACAAACTTTAAACTAAATAACGCGACGCCAACGCTACGTAGATCGGGCACTAGTAAGAAGATGACGCTAGTTTGGAGGGTCCCTAAGGTTCAAAGTCAGATACATACCACAGTCATTATGCGGCTGGGCGGTAGGCGCTTCCAACGCCAGCACCTTGAAGGCAGCCTTGGGCGTGGTCCCGGGCTGCGTGGAGATCATGCCGCGGAAGCGCGTCACGCGCCACGACCGCACGTGGTTGTACTCGCTGCACACTGATATTAGGTAGTTCTCGGATAGGGATACCTGGAATGGATGGTTTAGTTTAGAATAGACGAGGGGAAGACAAGCTAAACGGTGAGGCATCTTACGTAGTTGCGATAGGGGTGATTTTGCAATAGATAGATATCTTGGCGACTGTCTTGTTGTAATGTGGTCTGCTTTTGTCTGTATTGTACACACACTTTTGTTTTTGTTCGCGTTACAGATTAGTCTGATAGCGATTTCGACATAATTAGTTATTAGCAAGGTGAACGTTATTACGTTATGGCACATTTTTTGTTATAATAGATGCGATTTTGCGATAAAAATGTGAAATATGTTGTACTTTCACTGCAGACAAAAGATGTTACCAACATCAAGTCTTATTTTCATGAAAGACAATAACTAACCTGGTTGGAACAGCTGCGGCCCGTGGCCCACGGTCTCGGGGTGCTGCACTATAACCCGCACGGAGCCGTAGCGCGTGCCGTATGCGATCCGATCCAGTGCCGCAGAGATCTGTGCCACTTGTGACCCACTAACCTTGGTGATGGGGCTCTGGTGCACCGTGAAGGTCTGGAACAGCTGCGGCCCGTGGCCCACGGTCTCGGGGTGCTGCACTATAACCCGCACGGAGCCGTAGCGCGTGCCGTATGCGATCTCGATCCAGTTCCCGCAGAGATCTGTGCGAATTTATTAGTTACTAGCTGACCCGGCGAACTTTGTTCCGCCTTAATGGCAATAAATAAGCAGACTTTTTTTAATTTCGAACGGGATAAAAAGTATCCTATGTCCTTCTCCTGGCTCTAAACTACCTCCCTGACAATTTTCAGCTAAATCGGTTCAGCCGTTCTTGAGTTATAAGTGAAGTAACTAACACGACTTTCTTTTATATATATAATAACTAGCTGACCCGGCGAACTTTGTTCCGCCTTAATGGCAATAAATAAGCAGACTTTTTTTTAATTTCGAACGGGATAAAAAGTATCCTATGTCCTTCTCCTGGCTTTAAACTACCTCCCGGACAATTTTCAGCTAAATCGGTTCAGCCGTTCTTAAGTTATAAGCGAAGTAACTAACACGACTTTCTTTTATATATATAGATATATAAGATTTGGCTGTCTTTTAAGGATCTTCTTCAGCTCATATCTGTGTTTCATTTATTAGTTAATAATGTAAAATCGTTAAAAAAGCAACTCAGAGCCCAATTTACTTGTCCTTCAAATAACTCATTCAGATAGCCAGAAGATGAAAACAGAACTTACTCGTTTTTGGTGTGAGATACACTGATATTGCAGTGATGGGTTCCTGATTGGGGTCCTTATAAAGTTGTGTTACTAGGAGATCATTGTCTTTCATACGCAGTGGGAACTTTTGCATATCTGAAAACAAAAAGTTTTTAATATTACAGATGAGGATGGCACTGCAAGCTAATGCCTGGTCCGTGAGCACGTAGAATTTTGTCCAATGACCCCAAGCTACCCATCGCTGCTGCTATTGCTGTCGCGACTATGCGACGCGCGCCCGCAGTGAGTGTGCGAGCGCGACAGCAACATAATTACGCGCGAGCGATAAGGAAGGGTAGCTTGGGGTCATTGGACAAAATTCTACGTGCTCACGAACCAGGCTTTAATCGTGATCGTGATGTGTTGGCAACTGAACATTAAAAAGAAGAAAGATCTATGTAGTTTATCACCAGTCTGTCCTCCCTCAGTATGATTCCACAATAAGATTATATCAATGACATTCACGTTAGTTGGGTATCTAAAAGTAGAAGTAAACCTAATACAACTTTTATCAGTCTTACCAATATAGTTAATAGCCCCGGTGGCAGTGCCGAGCAGTAAGAATGAGCCGGCCGTATCGTACGTGGTGAGATGTGCCACGTCCTGCGTCTGCCAGTGCTGCGTACTGGTGTGCCAGACGCCGGCTTTGCTGCGACTGCCGGCACCGCTTAAAGCCACTAGTTGCGGACCCACGAATAAAAGATGTTCCACCCTCACGCCTAGGTTGAATGTTCCTGGAAATGGAAGTTGAAGGTGGTAGATGTGTATTATTTACTGGTCTAAGTTTCCCCATAAATTTAAAGTTACCCATCATCATCATCATCATCATTTCAGCCACAGGACGTCCACTGCTGAACATAGGCCTCCCCCAATGACTTCCACATCACACGGTTGGTAGCGGCCTGCATCCAGCGCCTTCCTGCTACCTTTATCAGGTCGTCGGTCCACCTTGTGGGTGGACGTCCCACGCTGTTACCCAAGGTAGGACATATGACAGTAAAATTGAAATCTTATTTGGATATTATTTATGACAAATGGCTTGATAACATTATGGTTGACAAAACGTATAGCAACGAATGGGCGTTCGAGAGAACAGTAAACAAATATACAGTTTGTTTTGTACACATTGAAGTAGTAAACAAAATATTACATAATATGACATAATACATGATTCAAAAGTGTATTATTCCGTGTTATCTAATTGCGACGGCGATGTTTCAGAAGTTAGTTAGCTCTTGGGATCTTGAGGACCACAACTAAACAGCTTACCTATTAAAGTTCTTCTAACAGGCTCCCCATGTGTAGAAAATGCCCATAATCGGACAAGAGACCCACTAGCTATGCCCAGCATAACATCAGTGCCCGAAGCATTATTTCCACTGTTATTCGCCCCACCACCACCCGTTTTAGCGTTCAACGCTATTCTCTCTATCAACGACTCTTGTACAGGAGATTGGAATACCACATACCAACCACAAGAGTCTGTTAATCTGCAATAACATCATTATTTTATTGAAATTGACGTAATGTTAATTAGAAAAAAATGTAGTTATGTCAAAAAAGAATAATTTTGGGACTAACCTGTATCCGGTCACAAAATGTGAATAAGCGACTGCTATCCAATTGTGATGTGCTTTTATTATTTGAACCTTCATGCTGTCTGACCAGGTATTTACTGAAAATAAATGAGTATTGAGATCACCCCATTTATCAATTTTATAAAAAAGATAATTGACGTCAATCCTTACCCTCTGGAGGACGAAGTCCTTTGTGACAATCTGCGTTACCAAGAGAAGCTGCCCTAGAATGTCCTCTACCACAGCGGCTGAAAGGTTAATGAAAAATACAATTTAGATATGAACCACACAACAATTTGAACTTTAGGATAGGATAGAGGCATGCGGTTTTTGGGGATTACTAANATTGATGGCGAACGAATCGAATCCACCAACGACGAGGCTTCACAGGTGCGACAGTAATATTTTATTATAATAATGTATTTATTATTTTCACATAAATTTTGCTGTTGTATTATTTAATCTATATGAGTGATAATATGAAATGAAACATTGGTATAATGTATAATTATTATGTACCTCCTACTCTAAAGACGTTTTATGACTTATTTACAGTAATTGTTATTACAAATAAAATTTGTTTGACTTATTATTAATATATTTTTTTACGAAACCCCATTTTTATACTTTCCACAATATTTATTCCATAGCCCCGATTGAAACGTTCCAAATCCATTCCATTCCCGTGCCCCCCGTAACATATTGTGTAATGATGATGAAAGAAGTACTTCTTATTTGCATAGTACAGGCAGGTAGGTAGGTACATATATTATATGTATGTGNAAATGTTATTGATATCATTCTATCCATTGCATATTTTGGACTAATCTACGCATGTTATGTCATGTCCCATGTGGCGCGGGGTTATAGATGAATTTTATTACATACTAGCTGACCCGGCGAACTTCGTACCGCCTTAGCGTAGAGATTTTCTTTATATTTTTTTCCGTAAAAACCTTGTACAGAGTATTAGAAAACTACAAAAAAAAAATCAGCCAAATCGGTCAAGCCGTTTTCATGTTATGTCGTGACAACGGAAAACGGGTTTCATTTTTATATATATAGATTATACTAGCTGTGCCTACGACTTTGTACGCGTAAAAATAGTTTGAATAATATTTCCCATTTTTACAACATTTGTCTTTACTGCTCCGCCCCTATTGGTTGTAGGATGATGTTATTTATCCTAAAACCATCCTTGATAAATGGGCTACCCATAACAAAAAGAATTTTTCAAATCGGACCCGTAGTTCCTGAGATTAGCGCGTAAACTACTACAATTTTTCAAACAGTCATAACTTTTTACTGACAGCTTTTTTTTTTCGTCCCATATTGAAAGTTAATCTCTATTTAATGGACTATAAGCCAATATAGGTCTCATTAGTGGTGGACATTTGGACCACTTTTGGTCATTGTCCTTTGTTCTAAATTAATTTTCATATTTCATTGTTTTTATCGAAATTTCCAAATGATTCATTAACAATAGAGGTGATTCTAGCGCTCGGCGGCCGCTGCCGCGGCACGCTTCGCTCGCCTTCGCGCGTAAAGGGTCACTGTTCTAACCTAACCTAACCTACTATTTTATGCAATACCTACTTTCTGCAACCATACTATTTTCTGCAATCTCTTTGTTTTACATAAAATTCTTGTGAAAACCATGATCTGCCTTATGGTTTGATTTTGGGTAACGGTGGGTAAGTATGTGAAGTGTCAATTTGACCAAACAAATTATTTGGGATATAATATTTGACAAAATAAAACATTTGCTATATAAACATTTGCCAAGTAAAATTTGGCCAAATGATAATTTGACCAAATGAATTAGTTGCGAAAAGTACAGTTGCTAAAAGTTCATTTGGGAAATGAAACTTTGGCGATAAGTTGTTTGCGAAGTGAAATTTTCCGAAAAGAAATTTGGCCAAACGGAAGGATACCGGTTTTTGGTTTTACAAAAGTAATGCAATAGAGAATAATACAAAGTAATAAAAAGTACTTGATATAGGGGCATTTTTTGGAGAAATTTATCAAATAACCAAAAAAAGAACACGAATTTAAAAGCAGATTTTTTCAAAAATTATCATCTTTTATTATTTGTTGGCATTTTCTGAGTAATTTATGTATTTTTTTAGTATCGCCTGTTATTTAACGATAATACTGTTTTTATTTTAACAGGATATACCTCTTAGTTTAAAAGTTATTACATTTTCTTTACAATAAGTAATTGGAAGAAAAAAAGTTCAAAAAAAATAAAAAATTTAGACCTCTTTTTTATCGATAAAAATAGGTCTAGTTTCACCTATTCTCATATGTGCACTTTATCGTGACTCACACTGTATTAATTTTTATTCAATTTTGACCACTGGTGGCACTTATGAACGTCAAAAACAAGTAAAAAAAGGTAGCCTTTAAGGGGCACTTTACATGTCTCCTTATCTTTAGTTTGAAGATTAAAATGGTGTACTACAAGTTCCTGGTATGGCATTGGTGCACCCATTATACCATACAATTTTTTTATTTTTACAACCTAAAAAACTTTAAAATTTTGAACCTGATCTGATCTTGTGAGGGTATCCTGCCAACTGTGCGTAGATCCAGTGAGGAGTTCCTGGAGTGAGTTCTGTTTGCCGACACATCTGAGCTGGAAGCCGTAGAGTTTTTCCGGGAACAACCATTGCTTCTTCCATTACTGTTACTAGGTGGAGCTGTGCTTACTGCAATGGTGTTTATAAATAAAGGAAAAATATGGATTCTTAACTGCTACACAAGCTAAAGGGATAGAAAATTGATGGCTAGAGGTAATATTTAAAAAAGAGACTACTTTTTTTTTGTCAACAGGTGCCTAGCTGAAAACAGTACTAGTAGGACATAAAAACAATTTAGTTTCGTATAAAAAATAATTACTTCAATGTGGTACATACAGCTCATCACATAAAAGCAATAAGGATTATGTGATAAAACTAAAAATAAACATGATAGCTTATCAAATTTATAACTGCTTAATATCTTCATGGTTACAGTATAACTTTACAACAATAATAATTACTTTACAGAATACAAAATATACAATAACGTAATAACACTTACATGGAGGTGGTAGATACCCATAGAAAAGTACATCACCACAGGAAGAATGATTCATTTCATCGCACAAGGCCAGTCTCCTGCTCAGAGGAGTGATACCAAAATAGTCACATTCGTGCCTGAGAGCTCTTATGTTCACATTTTCAAGATCAATATCTCTAGTCCTCAGGAAATTTAGAATTAGGCCAAATAGCTGTGGATCCCGATCAATGAATATGGCGCCATTCTCATCTCTTACGGTTGGTATTCGCCCACTCAGCAGCGCTGTGAAGAATGTATCCGGTACCCAAGTCAGTGTGTGCCATGATGTCGAGAATCTGAAAGTTTTTAAACTTAAAGTATTCCATGAAGAAAAACATTTGTAAATGTACCAAATAGACGTGTTTTTCAAATACTGACTTTGTAATCTTTTAATGACATAAACGATTAATGGAGATAAGATATGATTATAAATTAATCAACGTTATAATTGTTAAAGTAACTGCATTGGAGCTGAAACTACTAAAAATAGGCTGGCACTTTCTATTTACCTTGTACCACCGACATTCAAGTTCACAATTTCTTGATAGTTCGACATATTGTTGTTGTTGTTTTGAAGCTACTTTAATTTAGTAACAAGTCTATTATAAAAATTACTTCTGCGACTAATAAATAAATAATGGAAATAAACGAAATGCCCGAATTTATTTACAATTTGATTGGAGCAAATGTGTCACCAAAACAAAATGTCAACGTCAACATTTTTTTTTAATGAATAGTGCTGTCCGTTGTGACGAAGTGAGCTCAATTTGATTCCCCCTAAAATTATCATCACATCTGGTGCACGACACTCCACACAGTAGTGTTTATCCGGAATAAAATATTTTTACACCTGGCAATTTTTATAAGAGAGACGTGTCCGTCAGTCAGCGATCAGTCAATTTTCCTAAAATCGAATAATTGTTGGAACTGATGTATGAAAATACAGTTGTTGTGATTTTTTAGATTAGTTATCAATAATACTACAAGTTAAGATGCCGGCCACCGCCGTTGCGAGGCCGGGCAATGGCCGCAACAAAGGGATATTCCATAATACTGCCGGCTTCAGCACCCTCATCACTGTTACGGTTCTATCGCTTGCTTGGCTGGCCGGTTTTGCGTCCCGGCTCTTTGCAGTGATTCGGTTTGAGAGTATAATTCATGAGTTTGATCCATGGTGAGTGTCACTCCGCTTTGTTTTCGATAACCTGAAAATAATGGAATGGTCTTTCGCAATGTGCTTATCTGTTTTAGGTTCAACTACCGTTCGACGGCATACATGGTACAGCATGGATTTTACAACTTCTTGAACTGGTTCGACGAGCGTGCGTGGTACCCGCTGGGCCGTATTGTGGGCGGCACCGTGTACCCTGGCTTGATGATCACGTCAGGCACTATACACTGGATATTACATGCCTTGAATATCCCCATACATATAAGAGACATCTGTGTCTTCCTGGCCCCTGTATTCAGGTAAATAATTACAAATATCAGGACCTATTACTAAATGCAGTCATCATTTTTTTTTAAACTAACATTAAAAGGTACAGGCAGTATCAGAAACAGGGACTTCCAATTAGAAAAATAAACAATACTACCATCACCTCCCTGCCCTACCTCCAGCTTTTATTTTACTTCATTTTTATCCCAACTCAATAATTTGAAATTGATTAATTTATCTATCATAAGATGTTGTTTCAAAATCAATTAATAAACAATTGAATAATTTGCAGTGGCCTCACAGCAATAGCTACATATCTGCTAACATCAGAGCTATGGTCCCGCGGAGCAGGCTTATTTGCCGCTTGCTTCATCGCCATTGTGCCTGGCTACAGCAGTCGGTCGGTAGCCGGAAGTTATGACAACGAGGGCATTGCTATATTTGCACTGCAGTTCACATATTATTTGTGGCTGAAGAGTGTCAAAAGTGGCTCAGTTTTCTGGTCCATATGCACTGCTCTGTCTTACTTTTACATGGTATGTATGTTACTTTCATATCCTGTAATAAATACTGTAAGGTTTATAAATGGTTCTCATAATACTCATATGTAAATCAAGGAACAATATCATAATGTTGGTGTTTGAACTCAGATCATTGCTGGTAACAGGTTATTCATGAGAAACATTTAGCAATTCCATTTTCCTATTTAACTATCAAGATTTTGGCTAAAGAACCATAATAAAAAAACATGTTAAGTGTGTTTATGACGGCTCTTTCAATTAGAAAAGCCTTATCTGTACCAAAGCAATTATAATTTCTGCAGCTCATTATGGCTATGACATTTACTGGAAAGTAAACAATATTGGCATGTTTATAGAGTTCCATTTCCCACTGTAGGATGTTGTCACATTACAGAGATTCTGACTGGTATGAACTAAAAGTATGGCACTTAACTATCTGTAGTATGGGAGTGGCATAGGACTGGTGACATTGACATATTTTTTATTATGACATGATAACAGGGTGGAAAAAAAACATTTATTTGAAAAAATCATGTTTATTTTTTATTTATATAGTTTTTTTTTATTTTTATTAGATTTTACAGTCATTGTCTTAGTTTTTCATGCGGAAAACATGTTTATTTAGCCAAAAAAAGTAAAATTATGTAAGATGGTATGTCATATTTTTACTGAAACAAGAAAAAACTTTCGTCAAAAACAGCTCGTCCTAAGTGGTGTCCGTTTCCATTACAAAAACACGAATATCTTATTACAAGTATAAATTTTAAATTATTTCGCAAAAAAAAAAACAACTGAAGAAAAAATAAATTTTTCTAATTTTCAATACAAAACGGCTATTTCATTCTTGAACACCTAATATTAACATTGTTTTCGAACATTACAGTTAATTAATATGCGCTCCAAGCGTTGCATTAATTGCATTTTCGGCATGACAGAGAATACAAATTTGAAGGAGATAACTGTCCCTGATGACAATCACAAAAACACCCTCCTGTGCCGTTCCCATACCTCAGTAGTTAAGCGCTAGACTTAGAATATTGAACGCTTTAGGTGTCAGCATGGGGAGGCTACGTGTTCATCATCAACCTGATCCCTCTCCACGTGTTCGTGCTGCTCATCATGGGACGGTTCTCACAGCGACTGTTCGTCAGCTACACAGTATTCTACATCATCGGGCTACTGCTGTCCATGCAGATTCCATTTGTAGGATTCCAGCCAATTCGTACTAGTGAACACATGGCGGCGTCAGGTAAGATAACAATATACAGAGTGTTAGGTAAATGGGTATATGAGCCGACACTAGCCCATGTTAACATGGACATATAAATGGTATGGTGAAGTCTGAAATTTGATATCATAATTTTAATTTTTTTAATTTTCATACAAAATTAAATTTTATAAAATCCGATTTGTATGAAAATTAAAATAATTAAAATGAAGATATCAATTTTCTGATTTCACCGTACCATTTATATGCCCATGTTAACATGGGCTAGTGTCGGCTCATATACCCATTTACCTAACATCCTGTAGAAAACCTTTGCATAATGTCATACATTAACTTTTAGTCACCACTTATCATTATAAATCAAAATTAAATTAGCCATCCTTAAATAAACATTGATAAAATTGCAATAATATGCATGCATACAACTTCACTGTGTGTTGATGTACTTAATGTGTAATAAATTTAATGTAATCATTCAACACTGATAAGCTGCATTGTTATGACTGAGTTTTTAATACACACTACTTTATGATTTGTTACAGTTATAGAAACTACTTGGAACAAGGCGTTTCTGTACTTCTGTAGTTATATCTTGTTCCAAAGCATGAAATAAGCAATTGTTGAGAGTACATAGATTTGTGAGAACACTTGAACAAAGTTTAATAATAAAACCTTTATCTCTGTGTACTTATTACGTATTCATTGACAATTTGAATACAAAATAAGTATGCAAATGTCACTAAGTGTCAATTACTCACGCACAGTATTATTCAATGAAGGCATTATTAGCACAATTGGCTTTCGGTGGAGACACATGACCTGAATATTTCTAGACCACTTACATGTCACATGAGCTATTTAAATTGGGAGATAAAGCATCTTATCTTTAAAATGTATTAATTTAAGTCAACAATAACAACAAAGGGGGCATGCATTTAGAAGCATTTTATGCAATGTAGGATAATAGGAAATAATAATTTGCAACAGAAATGATAAACCTTCAATAAAAGTTCCATTATTTAGACAAATTATCAAACTTATTCACCCTAAGTTGTTGCTTTTTTCACTCATTTATTAGCAGAAAACTCCTTAATCGTCGTGGTATCGAAATAATACATCTTTCTAACATTAGGAGATGTTCCCATCACGCCATTATGGATTCTGTAGGGAATGAAACTGAGAATAAAACTTATTTCGGATTTTTCTATCAGCATCCAGTTCTTTAGTGCACCCTGCTCTCTCCATTCGATACAACAAGAGTACATAACGGCCTTGTCTTTTTCCTACAGGTGTTTTCGCGCTGTTAATGGCGGTAGGCGCCCTCAAATATCTACACAGCTTGAACCCTAAGGGCCAGTGGAAGCAGCTGTTGATCGTTGGCGGGTTCCTGGCGGCCGGCGCGGTCTTCCTGGTCGTAGTACTGTTGACCTATATGGGCGTCATTGCACCGTGGAGTGGACGGTAAGCGATCAGTAGGGTTGGAGCAGTTTTTGTTAGTCAGTCAGTACAGACTAGCACATCAGACTATACATTACACAAGTTTTTGTTACAAAATTGCACCTATTAGTACATAAGAGGCTCTAGCTTGACGTGCCGTCGTCCTTGAACACCCAAACTGAAAATGGAAACCAGGAAGTTAAACTTTGTGACCACTACACAAGGAGCAAAATGAAATTGAGCATATGGAGTTTATATTGACTTCTACAGACTACTTAATTGACCTTATTGTAATGTAACTTTGTCAAAAAGTTTAATAATACATATGTAGTTTCAAATTATATTTTACTCAAGGCCAAAGATAATTGTTAATTGTACTCTTATTATCTACTGATGACTACCTTGTTGCATCATTTTAAAATTCAATGCTAGTGTGTGGAATGTTGGCTAAATCCTCCATTTGTCTCCGAAAATCGGTAAGTGGTACATAGGATGCGCGCGATAAGCGTTTATCACGTCAGTTTATTGATTTTTCCCATACATTTTGTCTTCGATAAAAAAGTATATCACGACGCTCATCTTAGCCTGGCTGATGATGATGATGAAGTGTTGTCTTGTTCCAGGTTCTATTCCCTCTGGGACACGGCATACGCCAAGATCCACATCCCGATCATCGCGTCGGTGTCGGAGCATCAGCCGACGACCTGGTCGTCATTCTTTTTCGACCTCCACGTGTTGGTGTGCACTTTCCCCGTCGGTCTATGGTACTGCATCAAGAATATCAACGATGAGAGAGTATTTGGTAAGTCGCAATAGAGAAAATTAAAAATTTACTTATTGTTGTTTGTTGTTGGCCAAAAGCTTCCCCTCGTTGGGGATAAAAAAAGGTTTACTTACATAAAAAGAATTGACGTTGATTGAAAATGTAGAACACACAAAGAAAAAAGTTACGAAAAAGAAAGAAATGTTTTGAGAAATGAAGTGGCGCCACCGTCGAGTAAAGTCACTGTCACTCGCTAGGGGCGCTAACTAGTGAGTGTTTGCGCGGAACGGAAACACTCAATGCGCGTTGCAACAAGAATGACGTTGGCGCCACCCTGTGGCAATGCCCATCTACCAATGTTGGACAAAAAGTTGGGCCAAATATGTAGAGCTGGATTTATTGTCCAACGTTGGTCATAGTAGTGGCAATGTTGACCCACCAACATGTAGACCTAGACTTACTTATTCTTCCTTTCCAGTGGCTCTCTACGCGCTCAGCGCAGTATACTTCGCGGGAGTCATGGTGCGTCTGATGCTGACGCTGACGCCTGCCGTGTGCGTGCTGGCTGGCATTGCCTTCTCGGTACTACTCGACCTGGTGCTGCGAGAGGAGGAACTTAGTGCGCCGCCGCCTGACGACGAGTCCAAGAGCCTGTACGACAAGGTTAGTGCTTGTGGCTATAGTGATCATAGCCAGGTCTGACGCCAGTGGTGTGCGTCTGATGCTGACGCCTGCCGTGTGCGTGCTGGCTGGCATTGCCTTCTCGGTACTACTCGACCTGGTGCTGCGAGAGTAGGAACTTAGTGCGCCGCCGCCTGACGACGAGTCCAAGAGCTTGTACGACAAGGTGGGTAACCACGGTGGTTGACGCTGACGCCGACTGTATAGTTTTTTAACTGACTAACAGATTCCGGGACAAACTTGACCTTCATTGGTTGGGTTTTTGTGGCGGTCAAGCTGTAGATCCTGGCTACACAAGAGGTGCAGTGGTGGGAACGAGAGGTGGGAATAGTCCCGTTTGACTAACAGACTCCCTAAGCACACAGCGTATTTCGAGTGGCGACATCTTTTCAGCGCCCGCGTAGCATCAACGTGGTGCTGGTTTAGCGTCGCCGCAACGTCAATGCTAAGTAGCTGACGAACGCCGGAGCTACGTAGCGCGCTAACGCAAATGGCAATGCCAGATTTTGTATGGAAAGTGGCGTCTTTTTTTTTTCGCGCGGCCATCGACCAAACTTTGTATTTTGATTACAAAATAGTGTAATAAACCAAACTTACTATGGCATGTATACCTCTAAACTCAGTCTGAACTGAGTTACGAGCATTAGAAGTTTGATGATTTTCGTACTAGATTTGCTTTTTGTGCGCAAGTTTTGTAAGAAATTACAACAAAATATTGCGCTATTTTTTTATTGCGCTGATTCTGCTCCATACTGATGTCTGGAGCCTTTAATGGATGGTATTGTTTGTTTACATATACAATCTCACTATTTTGTTGCAATTTCTTACAAAACTTTGCGCGCAAAAAGCAAATCTAGTATGAAAATCATCAAACTTCTAATGCTCGTAACTCAGTTCAGACTGAGTTTAGAGGTATACATGTCATAGTAAGTTTGGTTTATTACACTATTTTGTAATCAAAAAACAAAGTTTGGTCGATGGCCGCGCGAAAAAAAAAAGACGCCACTTTCCATACAAAATCTGGCATTGCCATTTCATAGTAAGTTTGGTTTATTACACTATTTTGTAATCAAAAAACAAAGTTTGGTCGATGGCCGCACGAAAAAAAAAAGACGCCAATTTCCGGCATTGTCTTTTCTTATAGGACAAGTGTCATCGGGTGCTAACTGCATTCCGGACATCACATGTGTTCTGTCTACCAATAGTGCCAATGTTAAAGCGAGTGGCAAGGTGGGTGAAAAGGTTGCGTTGCTTATTTATGGACGCGACGCCAGCGCCGCGTTGGCGCTGCGCAGACGCAGCGAAATGACAACGTTCGAAAGAAGCTAATGTAGAAGAGGCCTAATACTTTGTCATAACTTATAAGTCGTGGTAAGGACATCATCCATTTTGGTCCAAAATCAAAAGTGCCGGCCAAAAAATAAAAGTTCTGTATTCTGATAGAATACGTCCGCCTTNTTTTGATTACAAAATAGTGTAATAAACCAAACTTACTATGGCATGTATACCTCTAAACTCAGTCTGAACTGAGTTACGAGCATTAGAAGTTTGATGATTTTCGTACTAGATTTGCTTTTTGTGCGCAAGTTTTGTAAGAAATTACAACAAAATATTGCGCTATTTTTTTATTGCGCTGATTCTGCTCCATACTGATGTCTGGAGCCTTTAATGGATGGTATTGTTTGTTTACATATACAATCTCACTATTTTGTTGCAATTTCTTACAAAACTTTGCGCGCAAAAAGCAAATCTAGTATGAAAATCATCAAACTTCTAATGCTCGTAACTCAGTTCAGACTGAGTTTAGAGGTATACATGTCATAGTAAGTTTGGTTTATTACACTATTTTGTAATCAAAAAACAAAGTTTGGTCGATGGCCGCACGAAAAAAAAAAGACGCCAATTTCCGGCATTGTCTTTTCTTATAGGACAAGTGTCATCGGGTGCTAACTGCATTCCGGACATCACATGTGTTCTGTCTACCAATAGTGCCAATGTTAAAGCGAGTGGCAAGGTGGGTGAAAAGGTTGCGTTGCTTATTTATGGACGCGACGCCAGCGCCGCGTTGGCGCTGCGCAGACGCAGCGAAATGACAACGTTCGAAAGAAGCTAATGTAGAAGAGGCCTAATACTTTGTCATAACTTATAAGTCGTGGTAAGGACATCATCCATTTTGGTCCAAAATCAAAAGTGCCGGCCAAAAAATAAAAGTTCTGTATTCTGATAGAATACGTCCGCCTTAGCATTTATTACTATGGCACCAAAGCTGTAGCACCACTGTGCATCGTAGTATTTGAGTTCTAAAAATATATGAAACGACTGACTTTGATCTCAAATACTACGACGCACAGTGGTGCTACAGCTTTAGTGTCATAGTAACAAATGCTAAGGCGGACGTATTCTGTCAGAATACAGCACTTTTTTTTTATTGGCCGACACTTTTGATTTTGAACAAAAAATGTATGAATAGTCGATGACTTTTAGATCTCAAATACTCGACGCACAGTGGAGCTACGGCTTTGGTGCCATAGTAACAAATGCTAAGGCAGACGTATTCTGTCAGAATACAGCACTTTTTTTTGTTGGCCGGCACTTTTGATTTTGGACCAAAAATATATGAAACGTGGATGATGTCCTTTAATACATTTCTTTTGCATCCAGGCGGGCAAGCTAAAGAAGCGTCCACACGAGACCACCACCAACGGCGGCGAGGGCGGTCTGGGCATGAACGTCCGCTCGGGCACGCTCATCGCGTTCATGATACTGCTGATGCTGTTCTCCGTGCACTGCACCTGGGCCACCTCCAACGCCTACTCCAGCCCGAGCATCGTGCTGGCCAGCTACGGGAACGACGGGTGAGGTTCCAATCTAAATATATAAAAGGAGAAACTGACTGACTGACATATCAACGCAAAGCCTAAACGGCTAAACGTAGGCACTTGAAATTTGGAAGGGACGTAGCTTAGGTTCCGTAGAGGTGCACTAAGAAAGGAATTCCCGAAATTCCCACGGGAACGGGAATTAGTGGGAAAATCCTTATGTATGAAAAATCTAAACCGCTTAAGTTAGACGCTTGAAATTTGTCATGCAGGTACCTTAGTAAACTTAAAGCTTAGTTATAACACGATATTGCAAAATTCCCACAGGAACGGGAGTTAGCGGGAAAAAGCATTTGTGTGAAAAAAATCTAAACCGTGTAAGATAGATGAAGGGGGTAAAACGGGATCCACGCGTACGACGAAGTCATGGGCGGCCGCTAGTATTTAATAATAAGAACATCTAAAGTCCGGTCGCCGAGCAGATAGAATTTCGTACAATGACCCCAAGCTACCCATCCTTATCGCTCGCGCGTTATTATATTGCAGATGAAATCGTTGCGGAAATTTTTCAGCAGTGGATAGCATTATCATTGGCATTTGACTTTGATCGTCTCAGCCTAATGCCATCCACTGTTGGGCAAATGATTTCCAAAATGACCGGCCCGTACCCAGGCACCTGCCGCGACCTTCACCAGATCGTCGGTCCACCTAGTGGGGGGGCCTGCCCACACAGTCTTCCAGCCCGTAGTCACTCGATAGCGACGGTTGAGAAATCACTAATCAAAGTTTTATTTCAAAACAGATCACGAAGAATTCTGGACGACTTCAGGGAAGCTTACGGTTGGTTGTCACAGAACACGGCCGAGGACGCGAGAATCATGTCTTGGTGGGATTATGGTTACCAGGTGAGTCAACAAATTACAAATTTTCCTAAAACCGTGCTTATAGTTATATTTTGTCCTATGTATAGAAATGGAAAGAGTTAGATTGTATTTTAGGTCAGTTAACAAGAGACGGGAACAGTCCTAGGGCCCGATTGCGCTAATTTGTAATGACCCCAATTCATTCGCGCATTGCGTTGCGTTTAAGCGTCGTTGGAAGTATCTATCAAAACGATACTACGATACGGATTTGTCAAAAGCTGATTTTCGTTCGTCATCCGATCGGATTGCAGCTGAAAAATTTTACCGCAATCGGGAAATCTCTTCAGGTCAAGTTTCCTAAGTTCGGGGCAAGATGGCGCTGTGATAAGTCCAAGAGTAGCATTCATTTTATCTATCAGAAGCAGTGGGTGTCCATTCTAGCGACCAAACTTCGATTCTAATTTTATCCTTCTTCCCACAGATCGCTGGCATGGGTAACCGGACAACACTAGTGGATAACAACACATGGAATAACTCTCACATAGCGCTCGTAGGCAAGGCTATGGCCAGTAACGAGAGCGCCGCCTACTCTATAATGACGGAACTAGACGTGGACTATGTACTGGTGATCTTTGGAGGCGCGATTGGGTACTCGGGAGATGACATCAATAAGTTCATCTGGATGGTCCGCATTGCTGAGGGAGAACACCCTAAGGATATACACGTAAGGTTTATTTTTGTTTTGTTTATGGCTTCGTGCGGTTTGCACATTAAGTTAATGTTAAGTAAAATAAGGTATCAATTACAACGGACGAAAGTTGTACAATCTCTGTATATTTTACTTTGTTTGCAGGAAGCCGACTATTTCACGGAGAGAGGCGAATACAGAGTTGATTCAGAAGCGTCGAAAACTATGCTCAACTGTTTAATGTATAAGCTATCATATTATAGGTAAGACATAATATAATATCATGACTATTCTAAATACATATCAAATTAGCTGTGGTTCCGGTAAAGGAGAATAGGACCACCCCAACAGTTACTCTTTCCGTAGATGTCGTAGAGAAAGCCGGCGTGGGCACGCTAAATCCCAGGCTAAATCCTCTTTTGGTAAATTAAGAGAGCTTGGTACTCCTGCAATGGAGACTAAATGAATCGAAAATGATTATCTTTTTTTATTAGTAGTTAACCTGGGGTTCGAGCGCCCTTCGGATGTTCCTCGGATCTCGACTCGGCCAGTCTTCGACTCTGCCAGTCCTTTTACCGTTCGACTATTGTCGCTGATGATAATGATGATGATAATGTTGATGATTTCTGTTTAGCCCGATGTTCGTACTAACATTCCCCGGATCTCGAGTCGCCCAGTCCTCTACCGTTCAGCTATCATCGCTAATGATGATGATGTCATGAATGATGTATTGTCGTCAGATACGACAGCGGCGGGAGCCCGCCGGGCTACGACCGCACGCGCGGCGCGCTGCCCGGCAACCGCGGCTTCAAGCTCACCTACCTGGAGGAGGCCTACACCACCGAGCACTGGCTCGTCCGGATATACAGGTACAGTATAGGAAACATATTACACTCGCGAGCAAAAATATGCAATCGCCGTATTTATTCCGAGCGATCCTAGGAACTAAATGACTTATACAGGGTGTTAGGTAAATGGGTATATGAGCCGACACTAGCCCATGTTAACATGGTCATATAAATGGTATGGTGAAGTCAGAAAATTGATATCTTCATTTTAATTATTTTATTTTTCATACAAATCGGATTTTATAAAATTAATTTTGTATGAAAATTAATAAAATTAAAATGATGATATCAAATTTCTGACTTCACCATACCATTTATATGACCATGTTAACATGGGCTAGTGTCGGCTCATATACCCATTTACCTAACACCCTGTAGAAGATAAATAAAAATGGTACCATTTAAAGGTAATACATATACATATTTTTAATTGATACCATCGATACATACATAGGCATTCAGTTCTTAAAATGGCTCAGCACAATACACAAGGGGTGATTCCATACTTTTGCTCGTAAGTATAGATACACAAATCATATTTATTTGGCAGAAGATACAGAAGCAGAAAAAACAAATCTGCATGATTCGATTCGATCTTTCTGATTAAAATGATGACATAATCGTTGTAACACTTATAGGGCAGATATGTACCATCCTAGACAGCATCTCACTTAACCTGAACCAAATGCCTGCCTTGTTCTGCATAAAAAAATGACCATCTGAGAAAAAGGCAGGTTCTTAGCACACATCAAGACCGCCAGCATTTATCTCGAAACTCATTTTCAGCGGGGGCGCTTTGTTGCGGCTAGCATACACAGCATGTGGCTGTTTTCGGGAATGTTATTCAAGAATTCTTGTTACCAGAACTTGTAAAAGGATCAATCATGGATCTTCCTTCATCCACTCAAGATAACAATTTGACTTTTTGCTTTATTGTTATAGGGTCAAAAAACCTGATGAATTCAACCGCCCTCGTCTTCCATTGGCGAAGAGGACAATATCAACCACCGGTGCTGTTTCTAAAAAGGTTCGTAAAATGCTTGTATTTGTTCCTCGTGATTAAATTTCTCTAGTTTTTAGCTAAACTTAGCCCCGGGACTAACTTAGCCTTCAATGGTTGGATTATAATGGCGGTCGAGCTGTATACCAGATCAGTTCTCAGAAGTTGCTGCATTGGGAAAGAAAAGTGGGAATAGATCCTTTATTTCTTACCGACTAATATTATTATGCTCTCTATTTAAACATTAAATAAAATAATACATTTATTATAAGCTCTTTATTACCAATAGTTGAGCATTTCAATGTATTACTATTCTAAGTGTAACATTTACCTGTATTGTTACAGCTTGCGATAGGACCTGGAAATTTGGTACAGTAACTTGAATGATAAAGTGCATGTCCTTTTCCATGTGTTGCGTTTCTTTTTTTAAGGTTTTAGTTACATGTTTGTGATGTTTTTTGTTTTCGTCATGTTCAATGTCTTGAAAAGCTAAATTATTTGATTTTGTATGGTTTGATCGCTGTGATTTTATCAGATTCGATTGTAAACACTGTTGTGTCTTGCATACTTGACGTCTAATTTGTCATTTTCTAACTGGCCAACAAAATGGGTGAGTCGATGGCTGCGACGAAATCTGACTCTTATTTTGTGTCTCTTTGTTTTTGGTATGCTTATGTGCATGTCGAATTCATGTTTTATACCATTAGTAGGTGGTCTAACGCGTGAACTTCATTCGTTTGGTAAAAGTTGTTGCATTTGAGTAGTAGAATCAAGAATTTTTATTTGATCACACACTAATGGTCACCTCGTATACTGCATCAAAAGTATCTTTACAGCTACAAACCATTTGTGTTTGTAAATGCGTAGTGATATTTTGATGTGGACTATACAAATCAATTGTACAGTCAGCTTCAAATAGTTCGTGACACACAAAATCGTCAAAAAGTTGACAACAACCTTATTCCAATTGTAACAAAGACGTGTTGCGAACTTTTGGCTACTTTGGGTATCACGAATTATTTGACACCGACTACCAGGTGTATATTGTATTATAAAATCGCATCTTTGCAGACTTCGAAGAGAAGAAAAGGCCTCCTAAAGAACAAGCCCACGGTGGTGAAAGGCAAGAAGGTAGCGCGACTGGAGTGACGCCGCCGGTAGCCGCGTCAGTGGTAGGCTGTCCAGGGATCGTGACCGCACACTGCCATGCTGTTCTCTAAAGCCTGGTCCGTGAGCACGTAGAATTATGTCCAATGACCCCAAGCTATCCATCCTTATCGCTCGCGCGTAATTATGTTGCTGTTGCGCTCGTACACTCACTGCGGGTGCCCGTCGTACAGTCGCGACAGCAATATAATTACGCGCGAGCGATAAGGATGGGTAGCTTGGGGTCATTGGACAAAATTCTATGTGCTCACGGACCAGGCTTTACTAATGTCAGGCAAGGAATGTTCGTTTTACAATGCAGTTTTAGGTTACGCTGCCAGTTTAGGCGCGATGTAATATACAATTTTCTTACATTGATTGCCATTTGTTTTTCTTTTGATAAAAAATATTTAATGACACATAAATTACCCCAAAAGTTTTAACACACTTTTGGGAACTATTGTAAAATAAGTCAATTGACTAGTCAACATTAATTTAAATATCACGCTATGAAGATCCAAACAACTCCAAATCGCGGAGGTACACTCACTAAAAACCATAAAATGTCCTCCGATGTCATTGGTTTAGAACAGAACAGATTCGGCTGGAAGCTTGCCTTCCTCTTGTTTCTACCAGCCAGAAGTGCGCTTATATATTTTAGAATTTAGCTACCCAGCAGCGTAACCTACCTTGGCCTAATACTGCATTTCGTTGCCAAGACTACATGGAGAATGGCATGGCCGTACAAACTTCACACTTCACACTGGTACATTTCACACTTTTGTAACATCTATTCTACACACTACGTCAAAAGATATCCATATACTTTTCGTGATCTAAAATATCTTCATGAACAGGGTCCCTAAAGTTTGAAATGTGACAATCGCTCTGTAAACACTGTAAATGTATAATTTAACACCAATATATACCGAACTAATAAAACAAATATTTTGTATAACCCTCATAAACAAATTAATAATGTAAGAACAACCAAGACAATATAAACGAATACAACACCAATTTCGTCCTTTGATATAGTTATTTTATGTGAACCTGGTTGAAGATCGGATATGCAAAGTGTTCCTTTGCATATCCGATCTTCATAAGTTTACGATAATTTAGGATCTATCAAACCATTTAATGTTAATTATCAAAATAATGAAATTAGTTCAATTTCGAGAGAGAAAAAGAAAAGTTGGGACACAAGCTTTTTTTTACTTTACAGATTACACTATATCGCCAGCTCTAAAATAGGTATCGAAGTTCCTTAATTTTTACAAAGAAAGTTATTTTATATCTGAGTAGATAGATCTACATAATGATGTTTTATTTTGATAATATTTAAGCTTTATTATGATGACAAAAAAGTTGAGAATCCTATAATCCTATAGCAATAAATTTGTCGGCCTTTGATTGTGTACCTTGCAGTCTTACCACTGATGATACAAATACTGATAAACGACTGACACCAATATGTATTTAGTCCATTAGGTAAACGTTTTTCGTGATCTAGGTGGTTTATTTGATGTTTTGGCACTGGTGCATTTTTACGGTTTCGCCGATCGCGGTTCGTCACGCGAATAAAGTCGAAACCTCGCGGAATGGAAACTCATGTTCGTGATTTACTAAACATGATCTCTACAGTCTGAAGTTCTGAACTCGAATAAATACCATCTAATAACTGTCACAAAAAATGGCAGAAATAGTAAACACCTTCAGAGATTTTATCAACATAGGCTGCATTTTATTTATAAAATAAATAACATAGTATTATGAACTTCTATGTGTTTTAAATGAACATCAGTTTCCACGAAGCGCTTATTTTATATTCACATTTATCACTATACGTAATTTTTCACGTCGTACAATGTTATTCCAGTCCCAGTTACAACTAACAACATAGTATGCGAGTTCATATCAGACAAATAAACCTCACAAACAATGGATAATGTTGTTTAAAGAGTATATTTGTAATTGCTACGTCCAAGTGTATAATAATTGAATTATTATTAATGATATCTTTAGATTTATTTGTCACTGAAACACCTTATTTGGTTACACGTCTAGCGCCGCTAGAAGGCGTTCGTTCATTTCGGTACTTATCACTTAGTTTTGGGTTCACGTTTTCTTTTTAGTGTGAGTATTGATATAATCGTCAAAGAATGCAATAATATTTTGTGACTTCTTGTTATAATATTGTATTGTAATTAATGATAACTACCAAAGTTTGAATACGTTTGATATGTGTCGTCGTGTAATATGGTCTTTCATTGTATTCTAAAGTGAGCAATTGTAAGCATGCTGTTCCTATGCGAGTTGTGAAAGTGTTACTTTGTCTACGTGGTCCAAGATTACTTCTATGATCTTTTTAGTCAGGGCTTTCGTCGTCTTGAGCATCGAGTGCTGTGATTTGATATTAGAAAAGTACTCGAGACGACAAACCATAATCAACCCTAATTTCCACGCAGGACAGTCTAGCTTACACTTGATCATCGGTGCGAGGTTTTCATTTTGTGTATTATCTCAAATATTATTTACTAAATTGATATACACTGTCTAGTGGGTGTTTTACATGTTGCGTATTTAATTTTATTGTTGCTCGACACTATTTGTTTTCGTAATTGTAACAGAGTTTTATCGATCTGTAGATAAGAATTCATTGTGGTGTACAATGTTCTTAATAAACGGACGAAGACTAATTCATGGTTTTTATTTATAAACGTATACCCTAAAACCCTTACTTTAGGCCTTAAGATGTGATACAATTTAACACAAAGCTCAACTTTTGTAAGAGAATATCATCCTTCTGAAAGTTAGGACCACTATGTACTATTTATTATCTTTTAACTAAACAGTTTAGGGGTTAGGAAGGATCAAGGGAAAAATAAAAACAAATTGACAAAACCTTCACCATATATTTATTAATAAAGACAATCTAAAAGATCACGTAATAGTCATTGTCTTAAAAAATTAGTTACCCTAATAAATTTATCAATATATATAATAGAGTTTTATTTTATTACTTATTGTTTCAAGGATATGCGAAGTTGTGAGAAGTCGCCCAGCGGGAGTGGGACCGGACTCAATTAGTCGTTGTTCTTACGAATCATCACATTGATCGAATATAACAATGAATCTATCCATACGTAATACATACATCTTCCAATGAATACCTATGTCAATGTTTCATCTACATGCTTAACTTTTGACTAACGTGTCTACGCGAAGAATTGTGCTAATCTAAAAAGGTGTCTACAAATTTACTCCATAGTATTTCAAAGAGTTTGTAATTTACAGAACGTTCAAAATCACAACACAGAGTGTAATATCAATTATCGTGCGCTGGCACGGGCCGTTACCGCCTACAATATATTACAAGTAGAGTACGTATTAGGTACGCAAGTACATCGAAGTGAAGGGGCGCCGACACTCTTTATCCGATACAAAATTAGAAGAATATAATATCCATTTAGACTTACAATATTAATACTATAGTAACATTTGACATATCATTAAATGTTGACACAAATACAGAAGTACTTACACATAGCCTACATGCCGCAGCGGCGGGACTACAGGGGGGGACTAAGGTCGGGCACTAAGCGAACGTAACCTGACTGGACTAACATACATGTATTAATATTACTCTTCAAAAGTCGCTGTATCCTTTGGTTGGAATTCATTACGATTACGGTATTAGATTTCTCTTAAATGTTACATCTTCATACAATTGACTCGTAGTTATTGTAGTTACAGTTTGAACATACTGTCACTATCCTTGATAAACCACATTTTATTGGGGCAGGCTTGTTTGAATTTTTCTTATTTTGCCTGATAGTTGATCACTAACACGAGATAAAGAAAAACAACACAATGTCTTAGATAATGAAGTTCGATCCACGCAATATTAATTCTGACTGGACAGAATTACTCGTGGATCTAAAGTAAATGCAATTTCCAGTGCTTTTCTTTTAAATAAGACGAAAATAAATTAATAAACAGTACAAAAATTAAATTGTAAGGCACTTCTATATTTAAGTTGAATATAGATTGTTCAATCGACGTTCTTACGTTATAATTTAACACTTAGCATTTGAGTGCGATTTTAATAAGAATACAGCAGATACCCTAATGAGTCTAGCGCGGCGCGGGCGCGGCGCGATCTAACACCGAACACTCGCTATTTGGTTAAAGTAACGGGTATAAATGTAAAGCTATACCCTGACTAGTATGACGTTTGGCACATGGAATGGGTTAGTGACAATGAATACTAACAGTAAACGATAAATTAATTAACAACGTAAAATAATCACTACATTTGGCAAACGTAAAATACGGCAAGAGAATTTCGAGTGTACCTTCAGTCTTAATAGCTAAGAGTATTGTTAAAAATAATTTCTGGATGGACTTGTCTTTCTTTAATCAATTGTAAATTTATGAAATAGAGCTACATATTTCCAGGAATAAAGTTAATTTGAAAAAATATTAATATTTACACAATAGTTAAGTTATTATGACTAAAGTTTATATTATGAAAATAAGTAAAGTACGCTCTGAAAGTAGACAAATAAATAATAAGCGATCTATATACGTAGAGCTAGTCGTATAATTGAAACGTATTATACGCATGCCTTGTCTTGGAGATGAGCATTCACACTGATACAATCTCTCCAGACGAAGCACTAAATATAGATTGTGATCAAACTTCACTCACTATAAGTTCGTTATGATCAATTCTGAAACTATGTTATAAAATGGCACGTTTGAATGTTCTTAAACGTTAACTGGGGTTTATAAATTGAAGCCTCGCCTTTACCTTAAATAATGATAGTTACAATTTTCTCTAACATATATTAATTTAATATATTTTCACCTAAATACTGCATAATTAATCAAGTTACAATAGAAATAGTTTGGCTAATTTTGGCATCGAGTTAAAAATTAGGAATATAAACGTTAGAAAATTTGTCTACAATGTTAAGATAGAACACAACCAAATAATCACACGAGTTAGTGATGTATATTATAGCATTTTAACTCTGTATTACCTAGCAGATAGCCTGCGGAGAGGCTCCGTACATTGGCAGAAGTCTGTTCAGGTACTCATGGAAGGAAAACGAATAGTGTATTTGAAAATAGCTCTCAGAAGAATAAAATACAATATAATATATTTCAATAGTTTTTTTTTTAAATCTGTCAATACCTCGACACATTCAAGATGGGCTTTTTAGTTTGGAGTCTTTCTAGTCTGTACGCAAGTATGGCAAAGGTCGATCAACAGACAATAACGACTTTTTGGATTTGTAATACCTAATGATGAATGATCATCTTAGTGCGTCGAGATATTCACTACAATAATTCCTTTATTCCTCAATTCAAGATACATAATACTGTAAACGTCAAACGCTCTCATAATTGTTATTTTAATGTTAATCTTAAGAGGGATAGTTAATAATATTAAACGATAAAGATTATTTTCTTATTAACATGTCTTTTACAAGGAATACTGCTCCAAAATTAAAATAGAAGTGTTGTACTTCGGAAGACGATAACAGAGTCGATTAAGAAAGATCACAACCACGAAATCTTGATACTTGAGTGAGAGATGCGTATATTTAACTTTGGCAGCAGTGTCCGCGATTGTCGTCCCAGAACCGCGTCTGCTTAAGTACAAATTCCAATAACAGGTTTTCCTTGTCTATCTATTCGATGTTCGAACGTGATAGGAAAGAAGCCTCAGTGGGACACGGTCCTGAGACGAAGAATATACAGAACACCCTTAAATATAAATAGTTGCTATAGTACACTTGAGCAAATATTATTGCCCAATTGGTAAGTAACTTTCACTAAACAGAGACAGATTCAATAAACCATACATTTATCACAACACGTAGGTACAAGTTATACATTTAATTCAAGTGCATAGAAAAAAATGTACATTCAAAAATTAACTATATTTCAAGTATCAAATAATAACGTATTCAAGAACAATCAACAAGGAACTAGATAATAATATTACCAACATAAAATATAGAATATTTGAGCATTTCAATAATATTTGTGTAAAAATATATTATCCCTCCGCTTTGTTATTCATACACTTTGGCCCGTATTATTAAACGACTCGCAAATACGGATCTACACTGAAGAATATCCAAGCCTGTGGTTGGTCAAAATATTTCAATTCAGAAAATCACAGGGTCATTATACCGAGTTTTGGGCGTCTCGTTTCATAATACAGGCCTATGAATGCATTTGGGACCAAGTTGGTAACTTGACAAATAATACATTCATACTTATTCGTTGTGTAATATTTTTTAGGTAATTTATACATTAAGACTTACCTAATTTAAAACAAAAGGTACAGCCAGGGCATCAGGGACTTTTGGATCCAAGATTTTAGATTAGCAACGTGGTTTTAAAACATTTGAGCGTTGCCCTAAAAATAGATGTACGAATAAGTAAATGTCTTTTAGTTAGATCTATCCAGGGTTATTTAGTTCTGTGTTTCAGAAACATGGGCCCCGCTATGTCCCTCGAATCCGTCCCTGTCCTTCGAAGCCTGAGGCTTGACCCCAGCATTCTAAACGCACGAGTTTGTCTATATTTCGCTAAGTTCGTCCAACAGAATCAACATGGATTATGTGACTAGTAGGTACAGACGCACATAGTTATAAAAGTGAAATATAAAGATTGAAAATGGAATTTGCCAAAATGATTTTCCAGATTTTCTGCTATACTTTAACGTCAACAGCTGTAGTATAAGAGTATTTCTCAAAAAAAATGTACGTAACGAAACGGTAGTAACGAAATAGTAAGGCCATAAGGCTTGTTATACATTGGCGAAATATTGTGAATGCTCTTCATTTATTCAATTCGAAATATTTGTAAGTATGCACCCAAATACGGGGTAATATTAAGGGGTTAGAAATAAAATAAGGGAGTAATCATTCATACTATTTTAATAAAATTATTTTTGTTCCATCATGTTTATCCATTTTGAGTCGTTCTCTGTAAGCTTTTTGCCTTTCGGCATTGGTTTTTGGCGGCATTCCTAAAAAAACAAAAGAAGTAATCACATAAAAACGTAATCTAAATGATTTGATAATTTTTTGCTGGTGGCACTTCTGTAAAGCAGATAGTATCCAATCCTTTTGTTATTAACGCTCTATATTTTTTGAAATAAATTAAGTAGTGAATATTACTATGCTTAGTCAGGTAATAACAGTATACACTCAGCATTATGTTGTACTTTTTCGTAACGTAACGAAATTCGTAAAAAACGTAACGAAATATTAGACAAAATGAGATCAGAAACAAGTATTTTTTTGATAAAATTTGTTACAGCAAATATAAAAGCTTACTAAATGTTCGTACCACACGTATTACAAAAAATGGTTAAATGAAGACTTACCGTTCTATATAAAATCGCTGATTTTACTGCCTGTTACGAAAAAGTAATGCCACAAAACACACACGTTTTCACTAATTTTCGCGATAGATGTTATGGCGGAGACGTCAGGCCAACAGCCATTCAGAGTGCAGCTATTGTTGTCCGTGTAAAATAAATACGGAATTGTTCAGAAACCATGGGAAAGTAGAAATAAATCGTAACTAAAGAGTAAATAACGAAATAGTAAATGAGAGCGACTCATTTTGTTTTTTTGCTTTAAATTTCCAATTCATTATGACACCCCATAGAAAATCAATTTGATACAGAAACTGCGATTACTGTAGAACGATAATACAAAGAAATTTACAATAATTTAGTTACGTATCGCATTTTATGAAACAAAAACACATGAAAAAGGTAGGGTGGCAAACAGGTTTTTGTATGAAAGGTAAAAAGGACTATTTTTAAAATATCTAAATATTTGGTAATAAGTAGGATTATAGTTATAATTCTTCGTTATCTTAAAGATTAATATTCATCCTTCAAAATTGTGTGTGTGTTTTTTTTGTGTGATGATTTATAAATATAAAACTTTTGAACTGTTTCAAAGCACACTTTTTTTTTTCAAAATGTACATTTTTTTTGAGAAATACTCATAACATAGTTGCTACTCAGTGAAATGTAGAGTTTTTCTTTTGGCAAATTCCATTTTAACTTACGCAATTCCGAGGTGCGCATAAATTTGTCTAATAAGACTAGAAAATGTAAACAGAAAACAAAAATAGTATGTAACAATAATGAGCAAACAAGCAAATGTAATATGAGCTGGGCTCGCGAATAAATAAAAACGAGGTAGTGTAGTTACTACACGATTTATGTATCACACGTAATTATAGTTTGTAATACTAGATCAATATCGATGGCCAGCCACCGGCCTGAAACGCCACAACTCCTGTTCGACCTGCTACATTACTATTTATGTGATTTGACTATCCGATAACTTATACAGATCTGTAACTCTCTTATGTTTAAAGAAATAAAGCGATATCATAAAAATATATTAAGTATACTGAAGGCACTCTGAAAATAGATTTTATAAGTAGGCACATTTAAGTGTGACAGTGATAACAAGTTATAATTTATTTATAATAGATTTACGTTAAGTATTTGTTAATATTAATTCGATGTCTTGAAGAACGAAATATTTGAATAGTTGGTGCACCCGAAATCAGAAGTCCAAGTAAAATTTCGCACTAAATCAAGATAGATGCTTTATCTTAGGCATAGAGTTAAATGTTGATTTCGATCAAAAAGTTACTTGGCCCCAGTTCTTTGAGAGGTCGCTGGATGCTGGTGGCGAGGCCGCGGCCCCGGCCGGCCATCGACGCGCGTTAACAACGAACTACACTTTATGTACAACATCACACTTGCAAGTCACATTAAGAAGTCTGTCATATAAAAACTTTACGAACACCTACCTATTTTATCAATCGTTATACAAAATATCTTTATGCGCTCTCTTCAAGCTTAGCATTACGAGAATTTGGAAATAATTAATATATATTTTTTATTTAAGATTTATCCGAAAGCTAACTCTTCTAGCTACTAGTCACTACGTCACTCTAGGGCCCCTTTAATCTATACTTTATAATAGTAAATGCTTATACGATTCAGCATTCGGTCCGAGTGCGAGCGAGTTTGTAAGGCTGGGGTTTGGTCGCGCGCGGCCCCAGCGAGTGTCACGCGAATCACTATCGGTATAATGACATGACGACTGTGCATTTGTTACGTATTTCTTTTGTAGATCATTTCAGTTCACACATAGAGAAAAAATATGGCACTTATCAATGTAACACCAACTTAGACACTAGTACTATAATAAACATGAAACATTTATATGCACGTGTTACTTAAAATGAATCGATAAGTAACAAATTCAGAGTCGTAGATGTTTTCGTTTGGTTATGTGGACTGTGGCTACCACAGATGCTGAGCATTGGTCTGACTCTCGCTAAGTTAGTGTCGGGAGAGCGCATTACTCATTAGTGCGCAATTGAGTATAGGTACGCGAGCTTAGTGCGCGGTGGTCGAGCGTATAGTGCGCGGTTGAGTATACAACCGATGAGTTTAGCGCGCGATTGAGCAGATACGGACGAGTTTAGTGCGTGGCTGAGCGAACAACCGTCGGGCTTAGTGCGCGGTTGAGCCAGCAGCCGTGTTGGCGAGTTTAGTGAGCGTGGTCGGGCCGAGCCAGCGGCGGTCTCGTGCGACCTTTTCATAAGGCTTTCCTAGCTTGGCCCTTGTCGGCGGCGTCGAGAGGCCGGTGCGACTTCATGTGTGCGCTACGACTTTTAACTTTGTTAAATACTCTGAAACATAACAGGGATTTACTATTAATTATGCAAATAAATACCAAAATAAAAACAAGCGAACACAAACCCATGTGAAACAAGCAGAAATCCGCCATAGCGAAGCGTGAAGCGTTAGTAACTAATATACATACATCGTGATACACAAAACATTTCAATCGTTAACCCTAGTTATAGTAGATAATAAATAAAATATTCTATGTGTATTGTACGCTCGGTTTCCTAAGCGATGGACATTAATTTATCGTCTTATTTCGATAAAAAATACATTATTTATTTCATATTTACATCGATGTTAAATTTCAAAGTCTATCTTTATTAAGCGTGGCGTAATCGTACTTAGGCTTGAGTAAATAAGCGTTGTAAATAATATAAGAAATACTTTGCTTGAAAAATAATTAGCTTAAACGTATTAAGTTAGAAGACTCAATAAAGAATACCATTAAAACAGACGTTACGCCACGTTGAACAGATATTATTAGCTATTCGTTATAAACAGTTATTTAAAGTCGAATTTACGTAAACATTAACTTGACAGCAATCGACATCGAATAACACTGAGCCAGGCACCGCCCAGCACCTACGGGGATAAAGGGAACCGCGACAGTGACGTCACGGCTGGGTAACAGAGTGCACAGAGCCAGTGCGATACATTAAATAAAACTTAACTTCGATTCACATTGTTAGACTACTAAGCTGCGTACACTTATCCCTTAACTTAAGCATGCACGAAGGCAATTTAGGTGAAACCTATCCTATAGCGATTGCGAGTAATGGCCGGTTTCTAATGCTTACAATTTTTATATTAAAGGTATCTCACGAATAAACTATTGTAATTAGGCGATTGTGTGAGACGTAAGACACTGTGGGGCTATAGATAGTTTAAAACCGAATTTGTATTCTAGACATTGTAAAATAACCCACCACCATCATTGAATACCACAAATCCTGTGTAAATAAGCAAGTTCCACGTAAATTGCGTTGCGTTCGCTTTGAGGAAGCAAATTGTGCCTCGGCGTTTGGCACTTACTTCCCGCAGATCTTGCAAGGGAACTCCTCTCCGTCGTAGGTGGGAGACGACGCGGCCCCCGAAGGCCCCTGGGCTACGGACCCCGGCCCCAACCCCTGGCCTGCCGGACCCTGGGGCGGAGAAGGCGGTTAGATCACTCCTCGAGTTTGAACACAAAGTGCTGGAGCCCACTTGAGGCGGTGCTTACGTGTGCGTCCACGGTCCAGCTCCGCAGGTACAGCGTCTTGTAATCTTTGGTCACCTTTTTCCAGAAGTAGTAGAATTGCACGCATTGCTTCGAGTCTTTTGTTCTCACCTGAAAATAATGAAGGAATGTCATCAGTAACTTCTTTATTGCTTGTAATTTTAGGAATCCTATTATGTATATGTAGTAGTGTTTTTTGGGTAAAATTTGGACATGAGGCCCAAGCGCAGCGCAGCCTATAGTATTCGCAACCTCGTAGCACTGTATCTATTCGTAGCACTCGCTAGTAGCACTTACCAGATGCGCGATTTGTAGAGTCCTACATAGTGGCCGGGTCCAGTTAGAAAAGCCTCGATATCGTAGCATGCCGTAGCATTAGCGTTCTCGTAGCACTGTGCTTATTTGTAGCACTCACCAGTTCCGCGATCCTGTAGAAGTCCTTGTCGTAGAGCCGAGCCCAGCTAAGAAGGCCTCGACCTCGTAGCGTGCTGTAGCATTCGTGACCTCGTAGCACTGTTCTTATTCGTAGAAGTCACATAGCACTCACCAGTTGCGCAATCCTGTAGAAGTCCTTGTCGTAGTTTCCCAGCCCAGCCAAGAAGGCCTCGAACTCGTAGCGTGCCGTAGCATTCGCGACTTGGTAGCACTGTTCTTATTCGTAGCACTCACCAGTTGCGCGATCCTGTAGAAGTCCTTGTTGTAGTGTCCCAGCCCAGCTAAGAAGGCCTCGACTGCGTAGCGTGCCGTAGCATTCGCGCCCTCGTAGCACTATTCTTATTCGTAGCAGTCACGTTCGGCGTGCCGTAGTATTCGTGACCTCTCACCTCTTAGCATCGTTACTATTTGTAGCACTTACCAGTTGCGCGATCCTGTAGAAGTCCTTGTCGTAGTGGCCCAGCCCAGCCAAGAAGGCCTCGACCTCGTCGGGCGCCCAGCGCGCGTCGTGCTGGTCCTGCGCGGCCGGGCGCGACATCAGGCGCAGCGTGGCCGCGCGGATGTCGCCGCCGCACTCGCCGAGTGTCTGCAGCGCGAATTCGCGCGTGTGCCCGCCCACCGGCATCGCTGCGCACATCGCTAGCTCCATGAACATGCGAACTGGAGACAAAAAGGTGAACGTGACTAAAGGAATAGAAAATGACAGTTTAAGTTTCAGGCAAACATAGAGTTGGGAAAGGGAGTTGTGACCTCGCAGATTCTTCTTAATATTAAAAAAAAACAAAATCCCTACACTAGATAATGACGAATCGCAACCTTCTAGTAAGTTCTTCTATCATATTATCTTGGTCTACAGGATCAAAATTCCACGTTTATGGCTCCTCCAAGAGGGACAGCACGTCGCTGTCTGATGATAGACCCTTTTTTTTTTCCACTCATCCCAACCTAAATTCCTTTTATACGCAAATACACTAACAAACATACACCAACACACACAACACTCACGTCTCACATGTACACACACCATCAACTGAAACTAACGAGTACCGTACATACATATTGTCTTTGTATTTATAGGGTTTTTGTTTTTGTATTTTAATTACCCCTGTTTAATCTTGCCCTCCTCCCCTTTTTACTGGTTGTTTCCCACCTTCCAACTAAGGGAAAAGGAGGAGGCTGAAAATCAGCGCGGGGTAGGGTATGCTTGACCTCGCATATGCTGAGCCTCATCCTTTTGCTTCTTATGTTTTTTAATGTAATTTTTTTGTTTATATTTCTATGTTTGTAAAGCATGTAAAAACGAGGCAATAAAGTATTATCTTATCTTATCTTAAAAAAAAAAAAAAAAAGGAACTTCTTCTTCGTCGCTATACTCTTGACAGAGTTGTCGTTGTCGTTACATCTGGTTTGGTGGTAAGTTTTACAATTCACGCGTTTCAGCCTTTCTTGTACAGTGTACACGTGTGGAGTGGACCTTTGAGTGCGGTTTTGACCTGAAGGAACACTGACCTTCGTTATCATCCAGGCAGTCGTTAACGCGGTCGCCGCACAGCGCCAGGATGATGCGCGCGCCCCACGTTGATCTGCGGAGGCCGAGGCTCCTCCAAGTGGGAGAGCACGTCACTGTCTGATCATAGACCTGGTGGAACACTGACCTTCGTTGTCATCCAGGCAGTCGTTAATGCCGGGGTCCCAGAGCAGCTGCTCGGGCGCGCGGTGCAGGTCGACGCGGTCGCCGCACAGCGCCGGGATGTCGGCTTGGTGCGCGCGCCCCACGTTGATCTGCGGAGGCCGAGGCTCCTCCAAGTGGGATAACACGTCCCTGTCTGATGATAGACTAGTCGGCCTGGTGCGCGCGCCCCACGTTGATCTGCGGTGGCCGAGGCTTCTCCAAGTGGGAGAGCACGTCGGTGTCTAATAGACTAGAGACCTGGTGGAACACTGACCTTCGTTGTCGTCCAGGCAGTTCGTTAATGCCGGGGTCCCAGAGCAGCTACTCGGGCGCGCGGTGCAGGTCGACGCGGTCGCCGCACAATGCCGGGATGTCCGCCTGGTGCGTGCGTCCCACGTTGATCTGCGGTGGCCGAGGCTCCTCCAAGTGGGAGAGCACGTCACTCGGACAGTGACCATAGACCTCGATCATAGACCTGGTGGAACACTGACCTTCGTTGTCATCCAGGCAGTCGTTAATGCCGGGGTCCCAGAGCAGCTGCTCGGGCGCGCGGTGCAGGTCGACGCGGTCGCCGCACAGCGCCGGGATGTCGGCTTGGTGCGCGCGGCCCACGTTGATCTGTGGTGGCCGAGGCTCGTCTAAATGGGATAGCACGTCGTTGTCTGATGATAGACCTGAAGCAAATAAACGAGGTGTAACTAAAGCAAGTATTGGCCTTATTGTCCATTTGTAAGGGAGAGAAAGTTGCTGTATGATGATTTTAACCACTCATTGGCGTATCTAATATTATATTGGGCCTGGCCCCTGATATGCACCAGACCATTTTGAGGTGGTCATGTAACCACCACTGCATCTTCTATAGCCAGATTCTCCAGTTTGGCTGCCAGTGAAAATATCTAACAGTTCCTAATAGGCTATCGTAACATTTTCTGCTTGTTAACCCAGAATCTTCTTGGTAAACAAACATTGGAATTGAGGCCCTTCTCTGGCAAACCTAGTATGTATAATGTTGTTTGGTTTTCTTCAATGCTAGAGCTCCGTACGCTTCTGCTATGTTACGCCTTCGCTAATGTAGGTATTGTCTTCTCACCTGCTAGCTCCACCAGTAGTCCAGAGCCCTCTCTATCCGGTGGCAGGATTGGCTGCGGCACGTAGTGGGAATGCGTGCGGCGCATACGTGAGCGGTAGGGCCCGGCGGGAGACGCGCGCCGCTTGCGCCTCTGAGGCGATGCAGGAACGCTGCTGGGGCTTAGGAACACTGCTGGTACTGTGTCGCGGCCTTCTACGCACACCTGTTAAAGATACAATTATTATTAGTGTAGGTAAAGCCTGGTCCGTGAGCACGTAGAATTTTGTCCAATGACCCCAAGCTACCCATCCTTATCGCTCGCGCGTAATTATGTTGCTGTCGCGCTCGCACACTCACTTCGGTCGCCCGTCGCACAGTCGCGCGCGACAGCAATATAATTACGCGCGAGCGATAAGGATCGCTTGGGGTCATTGGACAAAATTCTACGTGCTCACGGACCAGGCTTTAGACAAAAAAGATGACAATATCTTTATAGTAACTTATTCAAATGGATGGAACTTACTTGTAAAGATGTATCGTGCTGCCACTGATCCATTGACGAAACAGTAGAGGTGATACGATGATGCCGCCTCAAAGGTCGTTGATGCGAAAAGTCTCGTGGGCTACTGGATAGTAGCGGATCTTCAGAGTTCAGCATTATGCGGCGAGGCGTAGGAGATGGTTCTAAAGTATATGCGTCTAGCGACCGACATTCTTCGGGGAGCACTTCTTCTAACGCTTCTTCAACCTGGAAATTAATTTAAAGTTTAGATAATGTGTATGATTTTTTTAAACGTTTTGAGTAAAGAGCATTGATATGTTGCTTACTTCTTCTTGACTAGACATAGTCGCTGTGAAAAATGCGGCTGATAACGGTGACGAAGCCCGAGGCGCTGAATGAGCTGGTGAGTGAGCATCGTGGGAGGCAGGTGGCGTTGGGTATGCGAAGCCTGGTGAAGGCTCAGGTGCCGAATACGTTCCTCCAGGTGAGGCGGCTGTATACGCCAATCCCGGAGAGTCCCCTGTAGAGTATGACAATCCTGGCGAATTCGCCGTATATCCGATTCCCGGAGATGGAACCGGTGATCCTCCATGGCAAGCTCCAAAATCAGCCAAAGATTCTGGAAGAGGCGAATTTAACACGGCCGCCAACCGTCGACTCGATGGGAACGGGACTGGCGATCGTTCTCTTATCGACGCCGCTACTGTCGCGTAGTCTTCTAGTGACGCCAGTTCTTCCAGTTGCTCAGGTGTAGTCGCAAATTGGAAAGCTTCTTCATTTAGAGCGGGCGAAAAGTAGCCATCGTCTGAATTGAATGACACTCCGAATAGTTCTGGTCGGAAGGTGAAATCTTGTTGCGGTGACGACTGTCCAGGGTCTGAAGCTGATCTTTTGACGACCTGTGAAAAGAGAGGTTGGTTAATGATTATAATGTGGTTCTTGGTATGAATCGAATTGGTGTGTGATACTAACCTTTGTGTTGCCTTTCTTGAGGAGTTCGATGAGGGTGGAGTCCCTGGCGATGCTTGCAGCGTTGGCGACGGTGACGACCGGTGGTGCGCGGGGGGACACAAACTGCGCTGAGCTTGGCGTGGTCGCTGGTGAAGCGGGCGAGGCTGACGTACGGATGGTGGACAGAGGTGGCGGCGCTGGCGTCACAAAACTGGCGCGGGACACTACAGTGTCTGTGCTCGTACCTGAAAAGATGCCAAGTAAATTTAAGAAAAAAACATGCGATAATAAAGCGTAGATACACAAATTTGAAGTGCGTTCAGTTTTATAATTACTTGTGGAAGGTGTAGAAGTTGCTGTGGCCCCTCTGCGGCTAATAATCTTTTCTTCTATGAGCGCCCTCACTGATACTGAAGCGGTTTGTAAAGGCGGGCCCGTTGATTCTTTCTTATCCAATTTTTTGCTGTCCGAGTCCTATAAAAACAATTAAATTATTCTTATTATATGTAGGTTGTCAACAGCACATAAAACTATACATTTTCATCTTTTACAACTTCATAACAAATTAGGTTAAAGTGTCGCTATCATCCGGATGCTTATTACCTTTTTGAAATAACCGCCATGTAGCCTCATATGTCCATTGAGAGCTGGTATGTTTTTGAACTTGCGATGGCACAGATTGCATTCCACCGGCTTGACATCAGCTCGGCTGGAGCCCGAACCCGCTCCGCTCGCCGCTCCGCTGCCCGCGCCGCTCGAACTCGCGCCGCTGCTCTTGTGACTCCCCTGCTGCGCCTGTGGAAATTTACGATGACTTCACAAAAGTTCAAAAGACTTTCAAACCTATTACGTACTTCGTAATTTCAAGGTATAAATTTTGGATCTTCAGTGGCTCGTTAATATTCCAAGTTAATTAATGGATTTTGATGGACTTCTGCTAATCTCCGCCAGTTTAAGAGGAAATTAGTAATTATAGGCCAATTCAGTGTACGTTAATAAGTAGGCCGATGTGTTGCGTTTGGTTCCATGTAGTCTAAGATCCCGCTATACAACGACCTTCACCGAGATGCTTATTTGATGAAACATATTTTATATTCAATTTAACATGTCAATAATTATATTGCTTAAGGGTTGCCTAATAAATTTCAGTCCAGGATATGATTAATTAATCATTAAAAAAAGTTTTATTTTTAAATATTTCATCGGTTTGATTATTAAACAAACTCCATACCAATCGAAAGTATGAAGCCCATAGAATATGCAAACGTTAGGTTGCCTATTCTTTTCCAGTCATAACTCTCGGGTTGCCAGGTATAAACAGGTAAATTGATAGAGCATTTTGCATCGGTCTGATAATTTAATCAAATATAAATGAAAATAAAGATTATTTCATTATGAACACGGTGGTATAGGGTTGCCTGCGAAAAATCAGTCCTGAATGACGGTTGTCGAATTTTGTAAAGTGAAATTAAAACTGAAAGGTGACATTTTTCGAGTAGTTGGCAACATTTGGGAAAGACGAGTTGTATGAGGCGTTTGTGTGTCTTGTCAAGAGGTGTCGCTTGGGTGAAGAAATTTCTCCAGTGTTGCCATGCTTTCGGAGATTTGGTCCAAAAATGTCGAAAGTGGAAATAACGACTTCCGGTCAAAAATTTGGATGACGCCTCCTGCAAAAGGGTCGTACAAATGACATTTGACCATTTTCATCTCGATCACCTGGCAACACTTGCAGCTATGGGGAAAAGTATTTTTTTTCGACATGGGTGTCTTTAAAGTTAAGGACGGACAGAAGGAGATATGGCAGAAAAAATCCAAAAATGGGGTTTGGTCGGTTATACGACCCAAATTATGGGAAAAATCCGAAAATTCAGAAAATCAAGATGGCGACCGAGTGAGCGGTCATTTTGTAAAAAGTTTCAGATTTCTGATTTTTCAAATGCATTTTTTGGGCAGTTGGCAACATTTGGGAAACTCGAGTTGTATAGAGCGATTACGTAGTTTGCTAAGGAGTATCGTTTGGAAAAACAACATTTTCCAGTGTTGCCATACTTTGAAAGATTTGGTCAAAACATGTAAAAAATGGAAATAACGACTTTTGGTCCAAAATTTGGATGACGCCTCCTGCAAATAGGTCAAACTAATGACATTTGACTATTTTTATCTCGATTACCTGGCAACACTGGCAGTTACGGGGCCACAAAATTTTGGGACTTGGGTGGTTTTAAGGAATTGTTTCACGGGATTGGTTTAAGTTAGAAAAAAAGTAAAAATGGGTTTCGGCGCGGAAAATGGTCTAGATTAAGCGAAAAATGCAATAAGTATGGCAACACTGGAAAATGTTGTTTTTCCAAACGATACTCCTTAGCAAACTACGTAATCGCTCTATACAACTCGAGTTTCCCAAATGTTGCCAACTGCCCAAAAAATGCATTTGAAAAATCAGAAATCTGAAACTTTTTACAAAATGGCCGCTCACTCGGTCGCCATCTTGATTTTCTGAATTTTCGGATTTTTCCCATAATTTGGGTCGTATAACCGACCAAACCCCATTTTTGGATTTTTTCTGCCATATCTCCTTCTGTCCGTCCTTAACTTTAAAGACACCCATGTCGAAAAAAAATACTTTTCCCCATAGCTGCAAGTGTTGCCAGGTGATCGAGATGAAAATGGTCAAATGTCATTTGTACGACCCTTTTGCAGGAGGCGTCATCCAAATTTTTGACCGGAAGTCGTTATTTCCACTTTCGACATTTTTGGACCAAATCTCCGAAAGCATGGCAACACTGGAGAAATTTCTTCGCCCAAGCGACACCTCTTGACAAGACACACAAACGCCTCATACAACTCGTCTTTCCCAAATGTTGCCAACTACTCGAAAAATGTCACCTTTCAGTTTTAATTTCACTTTACAAAATTCGACAACCGTCATTCAGGACTGATTTTTCGCAGGCAACCCTATACCACCGTGTTCATAATGAAATAATCTTTATTTTCATTTATATTTGATTAAATTATCAGACCGATGCAAAATGCTCTATCAATTTACCTGTTTATACCTGGCAACCCGAGAGTTATGACCGGAAAAGAATAGGCAACCTAACGTTTGCATATTCTATAGGCTTCATACTTTCGATTGGTATGGAGTTTGTTTAATAATCAAACCGATGAAATATTTAAAAATAAAACTTTTTTTAATGATTAATTAATCATATCCTGGACTGAAATTTATTAGGCAACCCTTAAGCAATATAATTATTGATATGTTAAATTGAATATAAAATATGTTTCATCAAATAAGCATCTCGGTGAAGGTCGTTGTATAGCGGGATCTTATACTAATGGCTGTGAAACTGTATTGAAAAACGAGCGCGTTATTTGTGTGTATTTCGCACAAAGCCTAAATGTAGAGCAGTGCAGTTACTCATTCATGTAGAATTTTAATTAGTTGCGGATTTCCGTCGCACCGCGGCGCGAGTGTGACGCGGCTGGCCGGTTAATTATGCAACATAAAATGTTCTATCACTGGCCCATTATAAAAATATAACGCGGTTCAGCGCTGCAGCGTGCATGCATTGAGTTTTAATGCGAAAATGTTTTTGGAATACGTGAAATTATTATAGGTGTTTAAAAGTGGTTTGCTTTCAAAATGTTACTTTGAGAATTAACTAAACAGTTAGAGAAGTACGTTTGAAGAAATTTTGAGCCTCATGATGGTAGTTAAAGGACATCCCGTTTTTTCTTATGAGCAAAACATTTTACGTTTAATACAAAGGTTAAAAGTCAAAGTCAAAGCATGCGGTCAGGGGTGGCATCTTGTCAAAGCGAGTTCAAATTCAAACAATGACACTTGAGCGCTGCCCCGGGCGGCTCCGTCAACGCCGTTATACCAAAGTCGTTACTCCTGAACTCGTTGACTTTAAAGGACTTACGAGATAAACATTCCTCGGAGATTTTCAAGACTTGCCATAAATGGGCCATCATAAAGATTTTGCGGAGTTATTAAATTTTTTCTTTTGTTGAACGCTGCGCGACGAAATTATTTCAGTTTAGCATAAAAGGAATGTACGAAATTGGATAGCTGCTTGTTAGAGCTTTTAATATTTTTTGGCAAATTGCTGGTTTGTGTACTTATTATCTCAAAAATGTTTCAAACTACTATTAGGGTTATGTGAAACCAAAATGAAAATTGGCTATCCGCCAGAAACACAATGTGCGCACAAAATATGTAACAACAACATTGACCGCTAACGAAGTTCAGTACACGCACGTACGTCGTACACATCTATATTACGTGTTCATTCGCGGAGATAAGCGTTTTTTTGTCGCTTGACTAATACGACACATGTTAAAACTGGGTCGGGCGTGTAATTTATTTGATTCAGTTTTTCGCGAGCGCCAGCCCTAACGGTGCCATTAGGGCGCTCGTTAGTTTAACGCGCGGTGGGCGCGCAGATGTAGAGCGCGGCTGTGCGGCGTTTTTGCCATACATCATCCAAATACAACAGGGTGCCCAACATTTTTCGGTTGGAACCCGCTTGCCTAAGGAATGTGCGTTGAATCCGAGCTTTTATGAGCCCGACAAAATCTCTGTAATGTTTACATTGCTAAATGTTTGAATTAAAGGCTGCAGAATAGACAGTGGGATGCTTTAAGTATAATTATAAGGGCCTGTAAAACAGGATCACTATAATACCACAAGAATAGTGCGATGCGCGAGTCATTGTAAGTAAGTAAATTATATCTTTAGACGTTTCGTTTGTAACATACGAACTCGAAAACTTATTCATATTTAATAGATATTGTTTGATAAGTTCATTCATAAGGTATCATCTTGTTTAAAAGATCTAGAACCTAAGCTGTAGCTTGATATCTCTACTGGACCCAGTTCAATATAAATAAGGGGAAAAGTTGCGGACATGGCCAGTAATTTAGACTTATTAGTGTTAGTTCTGAATGATGTTGGGAAACATAGCTCAGTGAACAGATGCTAGTCTTTGGTCAGATCTCCTTGTTCAATTATTTGGATTAGATATAATACATACTTATATGTTTTGGTATCGCTGAACGTTGTCTGTTATGTACTCACTTAATTTATACAATTAATATTAATATTCGCAACAGCTATTCTAAGAAATATCTGTTTACATGTTCACAATTTGCGGCTAGCAATCAGTAAAGTTGTTTTGATAAAACTAATTATTTAAATTAATTCACCGCTACTAAATTAGATTTTACTAAATTTCACTATGCCCTAAATTGCGCAGCTTGCAAATTAATTAGGTTTTAGAACGTACAAAAATATTTTTACGAAAATTCGCAATAAAAACAAAAAAGAGATCGATACCTTTGGTTTCGTAAACGTTGGCGGCTGGAAAAGCTGGCTGATCCAATCCATACTAAAACTCACAGATCACAACACTAGAACTAACCGTGTATGGGACACAACCATCAGTTTATGGTGTTCATCTCACGATAACCAAAGAGAGAATGCTACAAAGGATGGGATATCGCGATGACCCCTCGGCTCGCGAATCGTGAGATAAATTAAAGTGACCAGTCGATCACAAAGCGAATTCGAACTCATTTGCATACGCTATTTGGATTAAAAGATCTATTATTTCTTGAGTTTTCTGTGAACCAAAACAGATCTAGTGAATGAGATGAAGGGTGACTCTATTGTATTGTTTTATTTCAGAGGTGTAATCGTTATGGTGAGAAAATGTAAAGGAACGATTTCGTTTTGTGTTTAGAATATTATATCTCGTATATGGCGTACATTGTTAATTTAATTTGAT